TAATTGGTTTTGTCTGGTTCTTCATTACTATAATTTTCATTGTTTGGATGAAAATGATTTTGATTTCAATCATGACTATACATTTAAAAGGCATCATTCATACTTTTGCATGCATGTAATGTATCCATAAGTGACTATTAAGTAAACTAAGGGGCCGTAACTCTAAACACTTACTCGGTAAACACTTAGCGGTAAAATTCAACACTATCGCTTACTTACCGCGCAAGATTTTATTCACTAAAATGCATCGTATGGAACAATTTATCCTGGTAAGCGCTAACCATGGTAAGGGTCCTTGTCCTCACTTACCAGGTAAGACTCTCGATTCTTGCTTTCGCTCTTACCGGATAAGATTCTTAGTTTTTGTCATATTCATCCGGTAAAGTAAATTGACTTGATAAGCGCTTAGTCGGATAAGCGTTTGGTAAACGGCACCTAAACCTTTCAATTGATTGATTGTCTATTCTACTAAAGCTGGAACTTTGTCCACAATTGTATTAAGAGAATTTTTCATTAATGTAAAATATATTCTAGCAAGAGTGAAGCAATTTAACAACAAAAATCATAAATCAGCTATGAATTACTTGTTCTTCCCAGCTTCCGAACAACTCCAATTTAACAATGATAAGACTCCTTGATAGCATAGGTTTGGAAATTGTAAGCTTCATCCATGTTTGGAAAGCTTCAACCACTTACGAAAAAAGAGCCATCAAGTTTATGAATTTCACATAAACATTACAGAATTTAGGTACCGTAGGATGTTTGTTATCTTAGTGGTGTGTTGCATGAAGTCTAATCTTCATCAAGCATTTAACTTTTCAGATAAGCCAAAAGAAACAGTCTGGTACTGGTACTATTTAACGTTTGTACATTTTAACAAATCATAGAAGTCACCATCAATCTTTCACTTTGTTAATCCAGGCATATAAATCTAATTGGTATGCCAACGCCATTCACCTGGTTCCAAACTGCCAAGGATATGATACCAAGAAACCTAATAAACTGAAACATACACACTTAGGGACCCATCATTTTAAACATGGATTATCATTTTACTGCAAGCAATCTAAGAATAAATAACCGTATTAGCCCCACCTTCATTATCGCTGCAAAACATTCGGATCCCAACCATTGCAACATCTCCTTCATGAATCATCATCCTTTGCAACATCTCCATCATTCTGAATCATCATCCCTTGCATCATAGATTATAGAAAAAGTTTTATAAAATTTTTAATCTCGAAACTAGGTTCATGCTAGCAGGGGCAGAGTTACATGTATAGGTTTGTGGAAAGCCCCACTCAAATGTTAATCTCTTTAAGTAATTTAGATAAGATTTATTACTCGACGTTCCCAAATTATTTATGACGTTTTACCCTAGCGCCCCAATCCATCTTGACGAACCCCCGCCCCCTCGCTTAACAGTTGTTCCTTGGCATATTGATTGTTTTGTTACTGTTATTTTTTGCAATCATGGTACAGTGATGTCATTGGTCGATGGTTTTGTTAAATATATCTCAATTTTTTTTGTTTTTAGGGTAAAGATAAATAAATTCACCTAATGTTGATTTTATAAATGCTTAAACCAATTCATCTAGAAGGAATCTAATAAATTAATTATAATATTATATTCTATTGGATTAACCGATATAGTAAAAAAAAAATTGAGACTAAAACTCGTCTTATTCGGTTAACCGAACCGTTTTGTTTCTGTTGAGTTACTCGGTTTCGATTTTTTTTGTATCCTTAAGTCTCTCACTCACGTAAGTTTCTGAATTCGCTTATGCATACCCTTTTTAGCTAACTCATAGGTAATAAGAAGTTTGAGCAAAATGGGTCTAGGAACGAGCCAATTTGGCTTCGGACTCAGATAAGAATTCATTGGGTCGTGACTAGATTATACGATTGGGTCGTTGGTTTAAGACAAATTGATAGGGGTCGTATTTTCGACCAGATATTAGTTCGAACCGAAGGTCTATGTGCTTCTAGAATGGGTTGAAGGCCGATGTTGGGCATGGTATGTTGTAATTTTATACGAGATGGTACGAATCTAAATATGGGATTAAGTTTATTCAACTCTATATAAGGCCTGGAACCCAATAGTCATTTACAAAATGCTCACCAGGTAAGTGCTTATAAGAAATAGTCATCATCTTCACTTACATATGGGGCAACGTTCTCGGTCATCAAAAGAGATTGTTAGTAAAGTTTTTTTCTCCTCACTTACTGGATAAGACTATCAGTCTTTGTCATGTCCCTTACCCAGTAAGATTTTTTGAAGCACATCTGCTAACACAGGTGATACTCGGTAAACGACCCCTTAATTTATAGATAATGTTTAAATGTATTTATGAATAACATTTGTGACAACTGAATTTATCAGAGTTGATGTGTTACGAATCAATTTATAGGGACTAGAAGGGTACTTGCGCAATGCATCGAGATATATCTTGATTTTAATATTTCATTTTTATTTTGTATCTCAGTCGATACTATAGTATGATCTTCTGTGATTTTGAGAAAGCGATGATATCATAAAATTTTGACAAAAATATATCGATATTAATATTAAATTAACTATTTAAAATTCATATTTTTTGTATACTTTTTTAATTCAATTTTTTTATTATAATTTAATTTAGGTTCAATAACGAAGTAATTTATATTTATTTTAATAATATAAATTTCTTATAAAGATAATAATTAATTATTTTGTTAGAACTCGATAATTATCCTAATTATATTTTAGATTTTTTATATTTTAAAATAAGAAATTTATCCTCTATTTGATTATATTTATCTGCAGTTAGTTACACAAATTCAAACATGGAGCTTTAATAAATTGTACTTATACATAATTTACTTGTAATCTTAAATTTTAAGTAATATATATCAATATATAATTTTTTATACGTAAAAAATAATTTTTAAGAATTTTTAGCATATGATTTATAATATAGTATATACAGTTATAATGAAATTCAAGTTATTTGAAAAGGTAATAGATAAAAATATTAAAAAAATAATGAAAAAGGGTAAATCCGTGATTTCTGTAAATTTTCCATTACTCGATAGGTATTCGTTGATCTTCAACCTCAAGATCATGAAAATGTAGGATTAATCTGGATCCCTAATCGCCAGAAAAGAACAAGGTAAATTAGATCGATCCACTATATTAGAAGATTGAATTTCAATACTAGCAGATTCATGTTTCGGTTGATCATATTCATCGTAAACTTGATTACGTTTAACTAATTAGCGATTTGTGTAAGGTTTACGAACTAATTACTAGATCGATGTATTGCATGCAGATGCATTTGATTGAAAGTATAGTGTGCCGTAGCCAGATACTGGATTACTGTATCATGAATTGTGTATACTGAAGGGAGTATGCGTGAGGCTCTGGTAAAGGTACTTGTACAAGTAATGTTGGGTTCGAGTCACGGAAGCAACACAATTATCTTTTTTACTCATCAAAACTTAATTATTCCTGTTCATTTGAGCTTGATAGAAAAGAAAACCGAAATAGCCAGAATGGGAAGATTAGCATTTGAAGGGATTTGATTTCTCATGGTGTTGAGATAATGATGGGACTTTAAAGGTGTTTTAGTTGCGTTTTGTTCTTCCTTTAGTAATAATTAGTGTTCTTTTAGTTTTATGCACTTGTTCTAGCAAATTGGAGATCACTAAAAAAGGCACAACTATGGTTACTGTTTGGTTTAAGCTTAGAAATGGAGTTGTCTGTCTAATCAAACATCACACCAGAGAACTAACTTAGTTTTTATACTACCCTTTTACTCTGCCACTTGTTAAACTGACACCGATGACACTTGGGTAGCCGTGGAATTACTGCAACTATAGTTTGTCGTTTAGTTTGATTTTTAAGATTGTTTTCAATGTTAGATCTGAAGTCACAGACGAAAATAATCACTTTTAACATAGGAGTGACACCTAGAAACAAGCAAGCTCACGCATCATTCTGCATTTAAGAACAAGCATTGGTTGGTCAATTGATCAAGATTTCCATGGTTTTAAGTTGAATCCGAGTCGAAATGAGCGCGCCAAAGCCCTTGTGGCCATGGAGGTTCACCTGCGATTACTCCAAACCAGTTGGTGGGCGTAAGCCGGCCCGGAAACCCACGGTTACCCAAACAAAAGGAGTTGAGATGAGCACCAATTTGGTCACTTTGAAGTATGAACTGTGATTGTTTTATTTATTTTGAATCACAGTTCCTAGTAAACAAATAATTCAAAACATCCAAATATCAATTTATGGTTCTTACACTATGAACTGTGATTATTCTACAGTTCTGAGCGCACTATATTCAGAAATATCAATCTTTCTGAGTCTCTTCGTTTTTGTAGCGAAGTAAGTGGCTTTCTTTCATTTTCAGTTAGCCTTTTTCTTTGCTTGTATTACTTTCTTTACTTGTCTTGAATTTCAGTATCCATTATCCTTGATCTTTTCCTACTTTCACTTTTTCTTGAATGTCTATGGTGACAGATTGGACTGTCACTTGGTATTTTGACTATTTTCTAGTAATATGATGAATGCAACCTTTTACAGTCTTCTACTAGGTTGAAATCTAGATCTAATATGCTTGATCTGTTGGTACAATTTAAAAGTTGTGATGCCACTTTGATAGAGTTACATGCTAGCATATTACTATATCTAGCCCAAAATAGTCCCCTTTTGCCTTTTAAGAGTCAAATTGATTACATTTTACCTTCAAAATCGATAAAAAGAACATTTTGGTTATAGATAAATAATTGATAACCACATCAATCAATAACAAGAGCTTTACAACAAATTTTGATTTAAAAATCAAAAGCATATGGAGATAAGGAATGCATACACCAATAATGCAGATCTTCTTTTCTCATGCCATGTCACACGTGATAATTATTTAGGAGAATGATTTTCTGACATTCTTTTTAAACACAGGACCTTCTTACAGATTCAGAGGCAATCTTGTGTTATACAAATGCGTACTTAAATATGTTGGAAGGTCATGCATTCGAAAGAAAATATGTCCAAAGGTTATCTAAAAAATAACCCTGTAGCAAACAAGACAAGCCTGACTCAATTCATGTATTGATCACTGTATATCTATATACTAGATATCATGGATAGAAATATAAGAATATACCAACATGAAGTATTAATTTATCAGCTAAATCTCTTATCTTGTCTCTTTAATGCCCATAATTGAGTGAAAGCCACTGGTTACAGCCTCACATCAAAATAGCATAGCGCATGCTATCACTAACCATAAGATGATTCACCTCCGATATCCGTGTGAGCTCACCGGAAACCCAAACCCCATCTGTAGCACCATTGATATGTGGGTGAGAAGATAGACATGATACAAGTGAGAGTGGAGCTCTAACTATGCTGTGTATAAGAGAAAGACCACTCCGACCTTGTCTTGTATGATGAGCTATAATTGGAAACTCTGTTCCATTTCCTTCTCCAAACATGTTTTCATCAGCCACTTTAGGACTCTTCTTCATATTTTCGATGTTTTGCCTCATCACCGCCAGTATACGCCTCATATCTTTGGGATGAGGAGGGTTTTTCTTTGATGAAAAAGGTAACTACACACTACTGCTTTTGGGTTATGTAGGAATAAAGCTAAGAGAAAGAGCTTAGAAGGACTCCTTTCTATAATGGCATGTTGATAGTGGTGTCGTTAGTGCTAGTACTTATCACAAAAATATTTATGGAAGTGCTTTTTTTAGGGACTCCCTTTGGTTTTTTTATTTCTTGTCTTTTTGTGGTCATTTATAAGCTAGATTAATTAATACACGCATTGGAGTCCCACATTAACTAAAAATGGACCATCAAACTTGTATATATATATATATATATATATATATATATATATAAGAATCTCCCCTCTTTGGATAGAAACTTAAAGGGGTTCCACATATCATCACAAGTCTCGACAAGACTAAGAACTGATAAAATCCCCAAAATTAATCTAAATAAATTCTAATAATTAGATTTCTAGAGGATCTTTGATAAGATCTTGATTCTCCATCAAGTACAGCTGAATCTTATCAAACCATCTTGATTTCTCATTCAGCTAAACAGTTTGGTGTTGGATATTTTGGACTATTAAAATCAAAATTGGTATAATATGTTAGTTAATTATGAACATGCTATGCTTTAGTTATCGACAAATTGGTTTGGAAGAATATCTGCATAGAGAATAGATGCTTGTGATAGAAATGTGGCAGACCCATGTCGCTAAGTACCACAGGAATTGCTGCACTTTATTAATATCTTGATTCTTGCTTGCATTAAAGGTATGCACTTTAAGAGCAATGCAGAAATTCCTCACATTTGTTTCAAGATTTTTTTGTGGCTTTTATTAGCACCTTATCTTTCTTATTGATATTGTCTTGTAAAAGCATACAGTCAATCTTGGAATAGTCTTGAGTTCTTTAATTTGCCTCATCTTTTTTCAATTATTTTTATACATAAATCTATTTCAAGTTACTAGATCCTGAAAAAAGATCATTACCAAATGGAGTGTGTTTATTTTATTTGGCTCTCTTTCCTATTCTGGTAAGTGATTAAATGAATTCTGAACCACTAAAAACTAATTGGTACACAATTAGCTTTGTATACTTTAGGCCACCTCATCAAAACTCATCTTTATCCATCTTCCTGAAAAAGCTTCTTTGCTTTTAGAATTTCTTTCAATTATTTATTTGCATTATTCTGCTGGTTTTGGAGTTTTGTCAATGTTGGTTTTTCCATCAAGGTTGCACATGCATGTATCCCTCTATTCTATTGCCCATTTTGTTCAGAGGGTTGTCTGATTGCAAATTAAGAGCCAACATTTGAACTGGTCAGATGTCAATATCATTCATTCATTTGGTAAATTTTTAATATCCTTTGAATGGTTCCAACAGCCCCTAAATTGCTCGATTTATAGGCATATCCGATTTTTCAGAACTACCTATGGTTTGTTCCCTGCTGCTGCTCTGTGTTCTATCATCCAGACTGTCCATTCAGAATACTTATTAAACGGCCGTTTTTCATTCTATACTAAATCATACAGGCCTCCTATATCAAACAATCCCTATATTAGTCATGGAATTTAACTCTCACTCCCTTCTCAATAATTAACATTTGCAACACTTCTTTGTTGGCCAAGGTTCCAAGCTAATTAAACCGACTTATTTGCCTACTGTTATCACTACAACTTGTTGATGCGATTGATTTGTTCATAAAACACTCATAGTTTGTAGTCACAAGAAGGTATTCTAGACTTTTGGTAAGTATAGAAGTCAATCACACACTTATCTGTAACTAGAGGGAATACCATTCATTTCGATATATGAATCTTGATTGCGCTTATTGGAAGAGTGCATCGTCATCTTATCTCTTCATTAATGAATAATCTTTTCCTAAAGAAAGAAAATTTGAAGGAAATCGAACCTAGTGTCAACCCGAAAAAGTCAAAAAGTCAAAGGCAAGAGGTGGGATGTTGTTCAAATGGGAGCCAAACAAGTACCAACTTGTACTTAATACCATTTTATGATTGGGATTGACCTATTTCTGGTTGTACTAGGCTTAGACCTTAAGTTCAAATAATTGCTTCCTCCACTAATATTTTCAGGATGCCATTTATCAATCTCCTTTTAGATGACACTATTGCCATTGGTTGAATTTGGATGGTATCTTACATATATGGGTTCTATGATTAAAGATCATATGACCAAGTTCCTAAGGTCGGAATTAGATGCCTGCATGTGATTTAATCAAAGCTTGTTTGGTACAACAGAATCAAAAACATTTTTGTTGCTCATCACATCTGTATTCCAGAGTTGAGATTCGAAGTTATATTAGCTCGTGAATCATGATGGTACCAATGGTTCCTGAGGGTACCCATTAAAGTCGCTTGCTTGTGCTATCAAGAGAAGACGAATCGAAGGAACTCTAGGGACTATTTTTGTTACTATAAGGGCTAACTTGGCTAACTTCAAAGTTTCCCTACTAACTTCTTGAAGAACCGTGGCGACGCCATCTTTACAAACTTCACTTTTTATTTGACACGATCGATGATTTGGATCGAACCAAAATGATGATGGGTATTAGTTAACTAAAGGGCAAATTGCATGAAAAAGTAACGTACTTTTTACTTGATTCCTATTTTGGGTAACATACTTTCAAAACTTCCATTTTGGTACCTAAGATGTAAAGTTTTAAACATTTAAGTACCCGGGTAACTGGTTGAAGTATTAACCGATTATCATGTTGATGTGGGGAGTGATGTGGTATCCAACTCGGTATTATTTGCTGACGTGGATTTTTTAAAATCTAAATTTTTTTTATTTTTTTTAGTCTAAAATTAGTCTTTTCGGGTTATCCGGGTACTTAAATGTTTAAAACTTTACATCTTAGGTACCAAAATGGAAGTTTTAAAAGTACGTTACCCAAAATGGGAATCAAGTTAAAGTTCGTTACTTTTTCATGCAATTTGCCCTTAAGTAAAATCTTGAAGTTTGGTGACTCAATAGAGAGAAAAACACTGGCTAGGTTATCAAATGAATGAAACTACATTGGCCAGAATGGTGGTGCTATTACTGTATCAACATCTATTTATATCAAAAGCATGTCAAATTATACATTGAAAATGTAAAATTAAAATAAGCCCATTGATGTTGACGTATGTGATGACGAAATTAGTAGGTAGGTGTACATTTAGCTTATTCTGAATAGAAACCTTACCTTGAATACCATGTCTCTTTGTTGTCATTTACTCATGTAAAGGCATATCATCGTTTTCTTGAGAAAAGAATAAAAAAACGAATTAAATAAAACCTGTTAAATAAGGACGCGTGGCATCCCCACTGAATCAACAAGGACCATCAACGTTGCGTATTCAAATGATTTGTGGGACATGGAGGGAATGAGAAATATATGAGAACACGTTTTGGCAATCAGTATTAATTTACTACATGGGGTCTCAAACAAAGAACAATAACGTCTATGATCATTGCATATAAACAAAAAAGGCCAGATGGGCGGTGTCATTGTGAGTCGGGAACAAAATATACAGTATAATGATAGAATTCTATTATGAAGAATGTTACTGTTCTATACAGGTTGTCTATGTGTGACTGTAATCAAAGACAATCGAGTATATATATATGTATATAAGTAATCATTGTATTACTTATTTTTGGCTCGGAAGTCAACATACTTTTTTGATGATAAGGGTTTAGGGGCCACCTAGCTTTGATACTTCCTTCGAACAAGTTGTTCCAAGATCACAAAAGATTCGTAGTCGACGACCCTAATGAGTCGACTATGAAAGTTCGTCCAACTTTAAAATTATATTATGTAAAATTAATAATAGTTGATATAAGTGACACCCTCTTGTTTAATTTGTTCTATGTTTGTCGTCTTCTTTGAAATTGTCCGTTTATATCAGTTAATCTAATTGAAGATATAATACAACTGATTTGATTATAAGAATATAAGCATGTTGAATGATTATTTTTTCTAGAAAAGTTATTTAAGTATTATAATTTAGTAACATTTTTTTTATATTTTATATTTTAATTTTTTTTCAAAATTGATGGAAACAAGAAAATGGAAGAAAAATAATGATAATTTTCCTCCTCGTTTCAAATGTGGAAGGATAATATGAATGAAATGAAAGGAAAGAAATTAGAACCCCTTAAAAAGATTATTAAAGTTAGAAAACTATCTAATCTTTTATTATAAAAGGGTAAATTACATGAAAATGTAACGTACTTTAACTTGATTTCTATTTGGGGTAACGTACTTTCAAAACTTCTATTTTGGTACCTAAGATGTAAAGTTTTAAACATTCAAGTAGTCGGGTAATCGGTTGAAGGATTAACCAGTTATCATGCTGATGTGGCGAGTGATGTTGTATCTAACTCAATATTATTTGCTGACGTGGTTAATGACATAAAATTCGTTAATCTAAAATTAGTCTTCAACCGGTTACCCAAGTACTTAAATGTTTAAAACTTTACATCTTATGTACCAAAATGGATGTTCTGAAAGTACGTTACCCCAAATAGAAATCAAGTTAAAATACTGGTATCCAACTCAGTATTATTTACTGACGTGGTTAGCGACATGAATTTTTTAATCTAAAATTAGTCTTCAACCGGTTACCCAATTACTTAAATGTTTAAAACTTTACATCTTAGGTACCAAAATAGAAGTTTTAAAAGTACGTTACCTAAAATAAAAATCAAGTTAAAATACGTTATCATGCAATTTACCCTTTATAAAAGTAACATATTTCCTTTCATTTTTCTTTTATTCAAGAACATAGCAGTTATTTTCTTTCTTTTCCTTCTCTTGAAAGAACACAATAGAAAAATAATTTTCTTTTCCCTTTTTTTCCTCCCCAAATTCGAAACACAATGTAAAACCTGACAAACGTGGCAACATCTGAACCCAATAACGTGATAGATTAAAATTTGAGGGTTGATGAATTGTTTACAGACGAAATTTGTAACTTACGAGAAGAAAGTAAAAGATTTAACTTGACAAGTTTAATATTGACGATCGAATAACTGGTATTGCTTTTATGTCGTTCGAAAGGGTTGGAGTTGGATAAAGAAACCAACTCCAAAAAGAAGTCCAATTATGTAGGGATTCAGATCATGGTTTCCTGTATCAACGAATCGTCCACCAACGATCATAAGGAGAACACTATAAAAGGCTGAACACACACAGAAGGAGGGGTTCACGGTTTCAAACATGCAAGAGCATATATTATTCTCGAATAACATCAGTTAAAGCACACTTGATAGAGTTGGTTTGCAAGGCTTTTCTTCTATCAAAGACCCGAGTTTGAATCCTATCAATGTCATTTTTTAAGTTTTTAATTTCAGATCTATTATGTTTCTGAAAAATATTTACAATAAAATACTTGAACACAAGACCTCACAGACGAAAGACATGAACTAATCAACAAACCAATGGAGATTTTTACCCATAAACATATACGTATAGAAATTAATTAGCTTTTATTGATCATATATAACTACATTAATTGTTTTCAATTAATACATAATTTAATTTATATATATATATATATATATATATTAGTCTATCCAACTTGAAATCGCATCCGAGATGGCCTCAACGTTCTTTTTTGTTGGGGAGGTTTCACAGCCACCCTCTCTCGACGTCGAGTCCGAAGTTTTCTTCTAGGACCTTGACCTGCATGAGCATATATGCAATCACATATATATATATATATATATTGGATCTCACGGTTACTACAAACTAGTCGGTTCTTCTTTGAACGAGTTTATAATATGTATATATATATAATATAATGAATTAAAAAACATTAATAAATAGAATGTACCTTTTTGTGTTTGTCTAAAGAGGTCAGGAGGTGCTGTACATGGCTGAGGTACCACATTTCCAATGACTTGTGGTTTGACGTTATGACATCCAGAGACGGCACCCGGACCCTCTTTTCCCTCGTATTTCAAATCGATGTCTTGCAACACCACCTTATCGCATTGTAACTCTTTGCTGCAAAGGATCGTTATCGCATATTTTGTCATCGAAGTCCCCCTGATTCCTTTAAACAATACGTCTGATATCTTCACCTTTGAAGAGTTTGTCTGATATCATCAAAAACTTCACCATCACTTTCTTTTCTTATATGTATATATATAAGATCATTGCTGCTAAAGATGAAGTTTTAAAGATCTAAAGGATTTGTTGTTGTTAATGCTTGAATCAAAAGGGGGAGAATGTTGGGTTCAATATGTTGTGCTTAAATGTTATTTTTTTTATGGTTTTCCCCAAACCTATATATATATATATATGTATGTATGCATGCATGTATTAAGAGGTAGATACGGACCTCCGGATGACAGTCGAGATAAGGGCAATATTCTTGATCGATTAATATCGGATTTCCAACATTCTCCATTATGATATCTTCGAAATGCAGTTGGTTGGCGACTCCTGGAAGAGAACCAGGCCAGGTCTTGATCCTGAGTCCGTTGTCACTGTTGCTGATGCTGCACCCCAGGAAGAAGATCCCGTCAACGGGTTCTTCGCCTGGGTACCTGCCGAGGCTGCCGATACTGAATCCATGGCCAGGGCCACATGTGGTTTTCTCGACATGAATGTTCTTGCTGCCATCGCCAATGGAAATGCAATCGTCACCGGTCTTGATGGTCGTGCCTGTTAAAACCAGGTGATAATACGCACAATTTGACTCTGAAATGTGATACTTTATTCAATAAATCAAGCTGCCTTTTTATAGGCTTACACAGGAAACAGAACAGCAAACTATCAGCTAAGAAATAGGAACAACTAGGACTAATTCAAAATACTTATTCAAATCTAAACAGACTCAGTCATATGACCGTTTGTAACCAAAGACTTCAATAGTGCCGACGATCTTAAACCCGTTGGTTCTACCGATATGAATCCCATCTGTGTTTAGACTCTCCGCTGGTGCATCAATGATGGCTTTCTCAATCACTGTGTTGTCACAATTGATTACCTGTATGTGAACTTGTTTACTGTTTCTTGAAGTTATCCCTCTAATGGTGGAATCCTTCACCAGATCCATTCTTATATTCTGTATCAACATGAATAACACGTTAGATTCACAATGAATATGTTGTATATTCATGATGAATATATACCTACATATGGTAAACCGATTTTTCCGGTCTTCATGGCATTGTTGGTCTTCCAAGCCTCCTCGCCTTGTCCATCGAAGTTACCTCCTGTAAGAGTCATCTTATTGACATTTTTGATATGGAACCAACTTTCTGTCTTGATGGCTTTGGGATCGGTCGGAGCTAAAAGGGTGGCTCCTTCCGCCACCACCTCAATCGGATTCTGGCATGGTCCTACCAAGCTCACCGGCGAAGCCACCAGGTAGTTTCCCGACGGAATCACCACTTGGCTCGGATCCTTGCTTCCGCATGCTTCCTTCCATGCATCCATGATCGCCTACACACATTCATCATCAATCCATATATATACACACAAATATATGCATATATATACATATATATATATATATAGGTGGAGGTTCAAACGAGAACACCTCCATTTTTACGATAACTTGTGGTACCTGGGCGTCGTTGGCTTTGCCATCGGCGACGGCTCCTTTGGTTTTGATATCAACAGTCACGGCGGTGGTTGTGGTAATGAAGAATCCTATAAAATAAAAGAAGAAAGAGATGGAAGGAGACCCTCCCATTTTTATTAAATAAATAGGTTTTTATTTATTATATAATATTAAAAATGATTAAGGAAATGAAAGGCTATTTAAAGGGATTTTATTTTCAGATTTAGCTTTCTTAAATAGTTTCTTCTCATTCAGACATTCTTCACATCTCAAATCGACAAAATAGTAGCAACAATTTACGGGTTGTTTCTCAAGTGTTCTCCTCCGATCCTCCCTCTTTTTCTCTGTATGTACGTGTGCGTGTATCGCTCATAATTGAAGAGTTTCATTAGATCAATAACTAAATAAAAGAATACGAAAACGGTCAAATCACATGTGATTTTACATTAACGGTCAAAAGGGTGTGGGGGCGACGTAGCCTGCGATCTCAAGTTGCAGCAAAAGTCGCGCGAATCATATAAAAAGAAGTAACTGAAATAGAACGATTTACGTTGTGTTACCCAATTTTATCTGTTTGGTGACTTAATTTTGTTCTAAGAACTTATTGTAACGTCTTTTAAATAAGATGCACGATTATTAGTTTTATTAAATTTAAAGTTTCATCACGTATTTTATTAGGTTGCATGTGGTACGTTCGAAAAAAACCCATTTTATTGTAGTGCGTATTAGGCCTGCAACTCGTTTAATTGATGTTAATATCCACAAATTACCCGCACAACTTAATTTTGTGACCGAATTTCTTCTTGAGTTGGAAAACCATGGTCCATGGCTCAAATCATGGGGTGGAAACGATACGAGACAAGTTATTCGAGATCAACTCGGTCAACACTTGACTGGAACTCGAGCTTGACTCGACATGCTAACGAGTAGAGTCGAGCTCCTGATACTCGACTCGAAAAGTTCGTAAGATACTCGAGTTCAGATATTGCTATCAAGTTCGAGTTCAAAAATTGCTATCAAGTTCGAGTCAAGTTTGGATTTTAATTACTCGCGAGTTTTCAAGTCAAACTCAAGAATATGAATGAATTATGATTCGTTTTCAAGAACAAAATGATATAAACGAAATATAAAACCTTACAGTAACCGTAATAGTTTTATTACTTTGTGTATTTGTTTCACGTGTGTTTATACCAAAATTACTAATCAATCGTTTCACGATTTGCAACGATAATCTTCGTTCACAAATCATTTCAAACAAATGTTCTGGTTTCGACAGCGTTATTGATCCTATCGATAAAATCATGGACGTCCATGGTTCCCAGCTCCCCGCCAAACCTAGATCTTACGGTAACGCTCTGTGTCTCGACTTCCTTGGGTCCCACGACAGCCATTAACGGTATCTTTTGCTTCTCCGCGTTTCTAATGAGCTTCGGCAGTCGCTCCCCCGTGCACAACTCGGCTCGTATGCCGCTAGCTTTCATCTTCTCCGTAATCTCATTACAGTATTCGAGCTGAAAAAGGACATTATACCTCCTCGTTATAATCGTCAACTCTGAAGGGTATTTTAGACATTTGACAAATAGTTGAATACCTTCCTAAAACCATCTATCCTGTTATTCCCTCCAAAATAAATGTACACATTTCTATTCCAATTTGTCCCAAAATAACTGTCCATTGTCAAGAAGCGTCTAGTTTCCAATTCTACTCTTAATTAATAAGATGAAGAAATCTATTACTCGCTCTAGTATTAAGGGTAAAATTGTCATTTAGTTCATTAAGTAGTATAATAATTACACAATTCTGAAACAATGTCTTTCTTGTGGACATTTATTTTGAGACGGAGGGAGTAAATGTTAGACCAGACCAAACCAAACAAACAGGGTATATTATACATAGAGATGCACAAAACCAGGCTTTTTCGGGCCTGGGCCTTCCGAGCCCGTTTTTAGTGGATAATGCAAAAGGTACTGTTTTTTTTATTTATTAACCCGGATATCCAACCCGCTAAGCGAGCCGACTAATCCCAGGACGACCAACTGCTTTGCAGATAGCCCGGAGTCACCACATTTGAACCTCCATGGCCACAAGATAATTTTTATTCCTCCTTCGATTTGAACCTGGGACCTCCTGCTTTTTTAGGCCCATGCTGGGCTGGACTTTGGAAAAGGGTCCCATCATGATTTTTCAGGACAGGCTTAATTGGGCCTGAACCGGACCTTTTCAGGCTTTTTCTGATCAGTGTGATCGAGCTTGGCCTTTTTTGTGCATCTCTCGCAGACCTTACCCTGTCTCGAGAGACAGACGGACTGTTTTCGGAAAAAAAAATGTTGACCCTCTATTTTACCTGTCTGTCGGTGACTGGTAGAATTCGAGCTTGAATTGGCGAGAGCCATAATGGAAAATCCCCAGCATAATGCTCGATAAGTACTCCGAAGAACCGCTCCAAAGATCCAAGAACCGCTCTGTGGATCATGATCGGTCTCTTCCGCTCTGAGTTTGAATCAATATACGTGATGTCGAAACGCTGCGGCAAGTTAAAGTCGACCTACACGCACAAACGATCTTATTGTCACACCAGTTTCACAAACACAATCAAATCTCCAAATACGAACATACCTGTATCGTGGAGCATTGCCACTTCCTACCGAGGGCGTCCTCGATCTTGAGATCGATCTTTGGGCCATAAAACGCGCCACCACCTTCATCAACTTCATAGGTCCATCCTTTATCGTTCAACGCTTCTTTTAGTGCACCCGTTGCTTTAACCCATATATCGTCATCGCCTACGGCTTTCTCGGGCTTAGTCGAAAGGTTGACTTCATACTTTTCGAAGCCAAATTGGAGCAACATTTGCTCGGTGAGATCCAAGACACCCTTTATTTCGTCTTTAATTTGATCCTCTAAGCAAAAAATATGTGCATCATCCTGTAAATCAATGATAAAGACATAATTCGTATAAATCGATTAAAAGCTACAACACCAATACATGAAGCACATCAAATCACTGTAAAAAATCGGCTTTATAGGACGCCAAACAGGTCTAAACGTCTTAATAGACTGCTTTATAGAACTTGAAGTTTATGAGACCAAACAATTATGTGTCCTATAAAGCAATTTGTTAGGATATTTAGACATATTTGACGTCCTATAAAGTCGATATTATTGTAGTGATCTGGATATGTATACAAAGCAATTTGTATCCATATCCGCTATAAAGGCAGAAAAACTTTTACCTGAGTGAAGCCTCTTACACGGAAAAGCCCGTGTAAGCTACCGGATAATTCGTATCTATAAACCGTTCCTAACTCAGCAACTCGGATTGGAAAATCGCGATAAGAGTGAGGTTTTCGTTTGTAAATTAAAATATGGTAAGGGCAGTTCATTGGACGAAGCTGATAAAGTTCTTCCTCGATCTTCATCTGATCGTACATATTCTCTCGATAGAAGTCCAAATGACCGCTAATGCTCCAAAGATCCGCCTTTGCCACATGCGGAGTATAAAGAAGATCGTAACCACTTTTCGTGTGAATCTTTTTCCACAAATCTTCGATTATGTGCCTCACAACGGCACCTTTAGGATGCCAAAACACTAACCCGCCACCGGCATCATCCTGTAGATTTAGAAGAATAAATCTTACTGAAATACGCTCAAGTATGATCAGTAAAAACCATTTCAAAACCATTTTAAAGCATTCCATGGTTTAGGGTTTAGGGTTTAGGGTTTACTACCTGTATAGAAAAGAGGTCAAGATCTTGGCCAAGACGCCTGTGATCACGACGCTTAGCCTCTTCTTTGAAGTGTAAATACGCTTTCAATTGTTCTTCGTTCTCCCATGCGGTGCCATAAATTCTTTGAAGCATTGGTTTATTTACGTCTCCTCTCCAATAAGCACCGGCAACGGATTCGAGTTGTACAGCTCGCCTATTAATAACTCCAGTAGTTTCAACGTGAGGACCAGCACACAGATCCCACCATTCATTACCTAGAAAAAAAGAATCCAATAATCTTTCAAAAATGAAAAGAGAGAAAGAATGATCGACTTTTTTTTTTTTGGATTAACCTGGATATCCAACCCACTATGCAAGCCGACTAATCCCAGGGCGACCACCTGCTTTACAGATAGGCCGGAGTCACCGCATTTGAACCTCCGTGGCCACAAGGGGATTTTTATTCCTCCTTGGATTTGAACTTAGGACCTCCTGGTACTTTTGACCTTTGGAGCCAAGCTCAAACCAATCAGGCACCACCCTTGTGGTTGAATGATCGACTTTTCAAACCAATGTATTCGGCTTTTCATTAGAAACAACCCAACAACTTCTCGAAAATGAAAAAAGACACACTAAACTTTGCGAAAACAAGCTAGTTTGAACAAATTGTGCCGTACTACTTGAAAAAGTTCGTTCGTTCTTGCAAAACCACAACGCTCTTTTATCCGTTTAACAAAAAACGATGGTTAGTTTACGATAAAACGTCAAGTATAAAGGTTAAAAGATTCGACCCTCAAAAACAAAATGTTGACTTTTGACTTATGAGCGTCGAACGAGATTCAGGGTATTCACAGAAACAAAGACAGATAACATCATTTTCGAGTAGGATATGTTTGGTTTGGTTCAATGTCGGATGAGATTGAAACAAAGGGAAATAAGGTAAAACGAGCATTACCAATATGATATATGGTGATAGGCTCTTCCTTAATACCATCCAAGATCTCCAATTTGTAAGGTTCGTTAATGTCCGTTATTCTTTTCTGAGCTTCGTCTCTTGTCACTTCTTCTCTTACTAGAGGTAAGTTTCGACCAATGATACGATCCTACAGATGATTAAATAACGAATTACGTACCCTGAAACAACAATTTATTAATATCTTACTGAGTTTGTGACCAAAGAAAGTAAGGCAAACGACATAAGCTACATTGGAAACGGCTTACCATCTCCTTTTTTATCCTCTTGAGATCCTTATCGGTCAAAGACTCGATATCAAAATCGTAGTAAAATCCATGTTCGATCCATGGACCAATCGTTACTTTGGCATCTGGGAACACTTTTTGAACGGCCATAGCCATAACATGAGCACACTGCATCCATACATAAAATCACCTACCCCGATCAATCATCTATGCATTAAACATTAGCAAATACATAACTCGATAGCACCAATCATCACAAACACACTTAATATTATAAGGCTGTGTTTGGAAAACTAACTGATAAGCTAGTTGTTAGCTGATAAGACTAGTTATGTTTGGTAAACACTGAGAAGCTAGATGACAATGTAAAATGACCTAAAAGAACATGTTAGAAAAATTAATTGGAAAAACATAAGAGGGCATAATTGGAAAATAGTGGGAAAAAGCCCCTGAAAGCTTATTGAAACGTTACTTGAACTGGTGTTTCAAAAAGGTAGCTTATAAGCTAGCTTATGGTTGTCGAAGATGGCCTAACAGTCTGTTTCTTAGCAGCTTAATGAGACTTACAACTTATTCGGTCAGCTATACATGATTATTTGGTAGTGGCTTAATAATATAAATGTGGGTCGTGTAGTAAACTTCTAGGACGGAGCTTTATGCAGAAAGTCAAGTTTTTCCCAAACCTGCTCCTTAAGTAAAAAGCACACTACTTCCATCTATGAAAAACCCTCCAAAAAACAGATTAATCCACACAGTCAAAGCTTTATCCATACCAGACTTCATGAAAACCAACCAAACAGTCCCTAAATTGTTACCGGTTGAACCAACTTCAAGAAATGCGTGCCATCGGAAAAAAAACCAATTCTCCGAATTGGGGTCACTAGCATTTCAGATTTGTTTTCAAGTTTCATCAAACACCCATCTTTCAAACTCAGAAATTACATCAAGTTATCATAAATTAACAGCACGAATTCTCAGATTCCTACATGTCCTTACAAGATTGAATTCCATGACCAATTTTGTCAACAAAATCCATACCAATTTAAAGTTGTCAACCTGAATTTGACTCCCAAAAGTCAAAATGCATCTCTGGTTTGGCAGAGATACCAAATTCCAGTTATAACCTAAATAATCCCATTTCTATACACAACTGGTGTGTGCAACGATAAATTCGTGGAAATTTGTGAAATGAATACATCAAATTGACAAAAATAACAAAGGAATAGAATTTACAGTATGGCGAATTCTGAGGAGCGTTTGGGATGATTCATTAGTCGGAAGAACTACTTTCTCCTCCAGCTTAGGAACGTCATCGGAAGCATTGTTTTCGATGGCAATACCTGGGTCGGTCGCAACAGCGGCCGGCCATGATGAGAAGCGATGATACTGGGGTTTGTTGAAAAGATAAAAGGATCGGAACTTTCGGTCGTAAAATTGTTTGGAGATGGGGTTGAAGAGAAGGGAAGAAGATGTAGCAGGGTTTGATGGTAATCGAAGAGATGAAGTGAAGAGAGGGTGAGACGATGACGCCATTCTGTGTAGGAGAAACATGGCGTCGGCTTCGATTTCTACTGCTTCTTGATCTTGTTCAAAGTTTCAGGTTTGTGGCCCAGGTTTATTCCACGGGGGTGTATGAGATAAAAACAACTCATTCTATTATTCCGACTTGGCATCGGTAATAAACATTTTTTAGTGTTTGGTTAAATAATTTATATCGATGTTAAATCGGTAATAAAAGGTTTTTGAAAAAGTTAAACTCTTCTGACTTATAATAAATTGATAAATATTTTAATAAAAATACATAAATTGTTTCAAATAAGCAATCACAAATACCTTCGTGTATTCAATAGTCCAACAGATAAAAACTTGTAGGTATTTTTTTAAAAGGTTTAAAAAAACTTTAAATCAATTTTATGGTTCACAAATCCTTGACACACAACGGGCATCACTTCCTCTTGTGCTCGTCCACCCAGTGTCACTACCCACTTCTATTAAGGCCGAGCTTAATAGGAGCAAGAGACTTGATGGCAACAACCAGAATGAAATATTATTTAATCGTGGAAATGTCATGCCAGGCGCACCTATCATAATCGGAACAGATCAATTACCAGATCCACCTATCATCGTCGGCATGACCATAAAAAATATCATTAAAAAAGCATGAGTCGTTGTTAAAACATTATAAAGTTGATGATTGCCACCAAAAATTTGATCGTCGAGTTATGCTAATTCCATACGAGTTAGTACGGAGAAGCATGTGTCCATCACTCGAGCAATGGAAAGATGAAATATAGAGTCCCTATATCCTTGTGGTTAGTAGAGATGAGCCAACCATATCGTTGGCTCATAAGCCATAGCTGTTTGTTCTCTATATTGTCCATCGTCTTTGTTGGCCTTTTGTAATTGATATATCTTTTTTTGATTTATTTTGTTCTTTTAATTATTCATCCTTTACAACAATTTAATGAAGCACGTATCGACATACCAAAAAAAGATTGAAAAATCGAAAAGCAATATAAAAAATAGTGAGAATGATGGTTATGGTCAACGGTGGCGATATGACGATGAGGCAACGAGGGGCCAACCGTTTTGATCCATGGTAACTGAATTTCAACATTATTGAGGTGCAACGAGATGCACTAGATCAATTCATTTCTAAAGAGCAATTAATGGATGAGCATGATATTAAATCATCGTTTAACAAAAATAAACTAGCTTATATTATGGGCACATGTTTGGATGCACATAAGCTAACTTATTTAAAATAAAAACATTAGCGTTTTCTAAAAAACACATAAAACCATATTATATCGACGAAGACAAAGAAGAAAACGAAATACTAAAATGAAGATGTATCTCGTTGCATTACGCAAGTACACTTCTAGTTATTCATATAAATGAATAAAGTATTCAAAATTACAAATCTTAAGTTTTTTTTTATCATTTGACTTCTCCTAGCTCTCGACATTTTCTCGTTCTATGTCTTTGTCTTATCTTTTTTTCTCCACTCATGTCAATCGTCTTCTCACTGTTATTATTTGACCTCTCTTAACGTTCACCTTTTTTGTTGAAAAACTGATATCAATGTGTCTTTTTGTCGAATTACTCATAACCATATGGATAACATTTTGTTAAGATAATCATACGTATACGAGTCTTTTATACATATATTTATCTCATAGTCATCACATTCTCAAATCATCTAAACTCGACCAAACTGTCATTTTGAAATTTTTCTAAACCATCCTTAAGGTTTATGGGCCGTTTACCAAACGCTTATCCTGGTAAACGCTTACCAAGTCACATTAACTTACCGGATGAATATAGTAAGAACCAAGAATCTTACCCGATAAGTGAGGACGATAATTCTTACCATGGTTAGCGCTTACCGGGTAAATTGTTGCATGAGATACCGTTTTTGTTGACTAAAATCTTACCCGGTAAGTAAGTGATAGTGTTGAATTTTACTGATAAACGCTTACCGGATAAGTGTTTGGTAAACGACCCATTAGTTTATGGTTTGAGGGATTAGAACACCAACCAAATGAACCCCTACTTAAGCTTTTTCATCATCTTTATGTCAATCTTAAACTATTTCATAGCACCCAACCCATTACTAACTGTTGGTTGATTGTGTATATAACATCTGGTTATTTATCAAATGTCTAAAACACCCTTGACTGTTGTTTAAATAGATGTTATATATTTGTTTTCCATAATATTTGATAAATTATTAAGGGGTTGTTTGTTTACCTCTTAATAGTTCCATTAAGAGGCAACCTCTGAATGGTTAAGATATGAATCTTGTTTGGCAAAAAAATCTCTCTTAATTGTTCAAAAACCCTCTGAATGATTTTGTATCATGAAACTCCTTTAACCATTAAGAGCCCTTATTTCATTGTACACAATTACCAAACAATTATATTTCATTTTGCGTTATATCATGAGAGTCTATTAATCATTATGCATCAAACCATTCAGCAATTGCCAAACAACCCCTAACTGTTGTAAAAATTAATTATTAAAAATATTATTTAACCATCTTTAAGGGTCACGTGCAATGAGGAAACGTCACGTGCAAAGATCGGGGATTTGCAGCAGAGATGTCCTACGTGTCTTCCCGCTAAATTTTGGGAATAACTGGCAGTTACTCCACCATCAAACCCTCTTCCCCCAATGGATTTATACATAAAATTCATACATTTACGAACCCTAAATTTACTCGCAATTTGCCCTTTTCATCTTTCGATCTGAGATCATATTTTCGATGATGTTCGTTAATCTAAGGCTTGCATCCATCGACGACGCCATTGTTTCTTCTGATCCCTCCATCTCATCGCATTTCAATTCCAAAACCCTAATTACCAGAAATCTATAACCTAGTATTCATTCATCTGGGAAATTCTCACGAAAGACAACGGGGACTCTCGTTGTACCGTGTTTTTCCAAACCAATGAAGGGGCTTTTCAAATCAAAGCCTCGCACCCCTGTGGAGCTCGTCCATCACCTCCGTCACCTCCTACCCTACACCGCCCCAAATCCCGCTATTCGTAAAACCAAACGTCGAGAGAAGGTGTATTTCTAACCATCCTAGTCCCATGCATACATATATCTACAAACTTCTAGATTTGACATTGGTACTTCTTTATGAGTTGTCGACGTAAAAAAGTTTGTGTTTTTGTTCGACGTTCGAATGAAATTCTATTGAGTTCAATTGTTTGGCATCAATTGTTAAGATTTCCCATGCATATGGATCCCAACACATGACAAAAGGATGAATATGTGCATGATTTGCAAACATAGGGTTGTATGTCTGGGTCCAAAGAATTTATGTTTGTTGTGAGATGCTCACTTGGGGTTATACATGCATGTAAATCGTATGTGGTGTTGGTATTTAAGATTTCTAGTTGAAACATCTGACTAACTTTGAGGTGATGACCAACTGCAGCTATACCTTGTGAATCCCCAAAACCTATGCCTTTTTTTGTTCCAACAGTCTATTAACTACTATAGGACTTACAAATCTATTTGCATGCGCTTATGGTGTAGGATGTGGAAACAATAATTAATCATAAATTATTGTAGGGAGTTATTTGAAGTTATACAAAGAAGAGCCATTTAAATTGGACAATGGCTAGATTCATATTAAGAAGGCACTCTTGTATTGGACCTTGGCAGGACTTGATACTTAGAATCCGTATAATACATTATTAGCATGAATATGAAATTCAACATTCTCAGTTCTGATTTATGTTTGATGATTTAGACAATATTAGAATGCTATGTGCTCTTGAAGCTGTTGGCTATATATCATAACACATCCCTTCTGCTGAAATTTGCACTCCTTGTGCAGATTTGTGAACTGAGAAAAGTCATTCTTGAAATGAGGACAGTACTTTATGGTGATGAACGGTCAGAGCCAGCAGAAGATGCCTGTGTAAAGTTGACGCAGGAATTCTTCAAAGAAGATACATTGCGTGTACTAATAGCTTCTCTTACTAGTTTGGATCCTGGGGTATGTAGCATGAACTATCTTTACTTCTGGGACAAGGGGATGGGTATATCTAATTTTATTCAAGCTCTTTAAGGCCTATTTGAGGAATGATTCAATTCTTATCCTATTTCTCTTTTCCATGCTGTAAATAGAAATGAGTTTGGTATCGTGCAGACACGTCAAGATGTTACGCACGTGATCGCAAATTTGCAGAGGCAAAGAGTGAATGGACGATATCTTGCCTCTGAATATTTGGAGTGCAACACAGACCTTCTGGGTATGCTGGTACCAGGGTGGGCCCTCTGTAACAAGATGTTATCTAGTTATCTGTGCCCAGCTTTATCTTTGCATATTGTATGTCTTGTATGCTACATTCATTTAATCATCCAAGAGAAGCTTCCAACCTTGAGTTCCTGATTTAAGGTGAATTATTAGGGGCAGTGTGTATCAGTCTGGGGGGATGAAAATGACAGGGAATGAAATTGGGAATTCCCCCCAGTAAAACCTGGAATGAAAAATTGGGCTTCTGGCCGAATTCCCCCCAGTTAAACCTGCAAACTTTTTTACCTTTGAGAGTTAAGATTACGCTGACAGAGGGAAATTGAGTCTTGAACTTCCTTCCTTTTTTTGCTGCAAAATCGATCCCATTGGTGCTGTCTTTGAACTTGAAAAAGCAACCATAAACTACACACTTGAAATAATCTGACATAATCGAGACAAGCTCCTTAACATTGACACACCTAAATTCGGAAGCTTGCAAATCCACAGCACAATCTAATGAACTCAACGCCATTGCACTTAGCACCTGCACAAGAGAAGTCAGCCATTATCTTCAACTTCTGACCCATTGACGATAAATAATGTCAGGGGCTGAGAGCTTGAACACTTGAAACCTTAACTGCGGAACCAACAACTGAAGCCCTAGCCTAATAATGAACCAAAACCAATCGACGATAAACAGGGACAGGGCTTGCATTTCAAGTTCATACTAATCTGGGCATTTCACTCTTGCCGATTCTTTATACAAATTCATTAAATTCTTCAATATTTATCAATCATCTTTACAGGGAGTTAGAACATGTGTTTGGTTTTCTGATTTTTAACTTGATTACTCATTTTCTTTAGCCTAATTTTGTAATTCTAATTGCCTGTGGTAGGTGTTTTGATGTTTGAATTATTAATACATTTTGCTTCTGGTTTAACATGGCTCCAAGTTTAATCTACAAACATCTTCATGTTCAGCTGTGATGATTCAGAGCTTGCTATATCGTACGGTGCAATTTTAAGAGAATGTATTCGGCATCAAGTTGCTGCAAAGTAAGCATCATTGACAAGATCTGTTTTTTCATTTGTCAGCTTGCTAAATATTTGTAATCTTGTTTGTACATGGTACATTGTGAGCTAGTTGGGACATGGAACATTGTCATGAATTCACAGATGTGATACAGTTTGCTCTTGAAGTGATAGTATGTGCTACCATTAGCTCATGAAGGGATTACTCTGTTTGGTTTAACACTTGTGTGTTACGAAATTCATGTATCACGTCCCAAGGTAGAGGAATGACTAGCCATTGTTGATACTGAAAAGCATCTGATATCATTCAAACTAAAATAGCAAGTGCAGTTGGTGGTTACTGGCAAAATATGGTACACTACGCGTTTGGGTTGCTAGTGTACTCTTAAATAATCTTGGCATCCAGAACTATGGAAACATCTACGAAAGACAAGATCTATGAAGTAAATTGGAGTCATGTAAAATTGATATGGTAGTCATGATCAAAGGACATAAGTTCTTCAAAGTGTGATACCCCTCCCCCAATAAACTACGTGTCTAAGATATATCACACTTGAATAATGTGTTTGCCCTGCTGCAGTTTGTGCTTGATGTATTTTTAGCTCGCCTGCATAGGTATTAAGAAGAACATAACTAACATAACCAGTAGGAGTTCATATCTGTAAATGCGCATTATCTTCGCAGATGTTGAAGTCAAGATGTTTGTTCATTTTTCTAGTAGAATTCTGCAGCAAATTTAGGTTAAATTCTGGAGTTTTTGAATAAAGTACTCCCAACTTTTTTCTTAATTCTTGCCTCAAACTTTAACCTGCCTGTGCATGCCCTTATCATGAATCCTTTTTCTCAAGGGTGGTTTTTATGACACTTCTCGAATAAAACTTCATTTTTTAATAAGACCTGTTCTACATCTTTTAAGTCATATTAGCTAAACTATTGTATTACATGCTTGATGAACTCATGTCTATTATTATCTGTTTCTGATGGCAATATATGTAGCTAAAATATAAGTCAACTTTTCTCATTTTCACAGATATCTCTTGGAGTCAGATCACATTAAAAAGTTCTTCAGGTACATACAAGATCCAAGTTTTGACATAGCATCAGATGCAGCAGCAACATTTAGAGTTAAGTATCGTGAGCCCCTTCCTGTATTAAGTTCTTGAAAGGTTGCAGGCATAGTCAATATATAGTGCTCCATTTCCCTTCAGCATTATCAAACCATCCAGTTTGATGCATACCAATGAATTGGAGTTCAGTTACAGTGATAGGCAAGAAAGAGTTTTGTTTACTTGAATTTGCTTGAAAGAGGAAAAAGATAAAGAAAATGGCAGTAATTTTGGCTTCTCTGGTCCACAAATAAATAGTGCGTATCTGGCAAGTTTAAAAAGTGGAGATAACCGTTCTCCCAATATAAAAGGCTAGTCATGAGGTGACACTTTCATGTTTTTTTATCATTTGAGACTCCTGTAGTATAGTTTGTTTCAGTAAGCCTCCTCCAGTGAGGTACACGTATGACAATTGTTTCAATACGTTAAATTTTGTTTCCTGAACAATCTGTAGGATATGTGACCTATGTATGTGAACTTTGAATATTATATTTGTAATAGTGCTAGTGTTCGATAAAATGGTGATGGTTTTTTCATTCTTATTTCAGGAGCTATTGACCAGGCATAAATCAACTATTGCTGAATTTCTTTCCAAAAATTATGATTGGGTAAGTGTTGTAGCGCTTACACCAGTCTCCACTTTATACGTGAGGTTGGTGTGAGACCATCACTGGGTTTTGAGCATCAGAAATCCAATCAACCAATCTCTACTTCGTGTTCTCAGCCTCGACCTATAAGTTACCCACAAACAGGAAAAATGATATCAACCAGAAATTATTGTGGGATATCCACCAATAGACTGGTTCTCTGTGATTATTCAATTTTTTTTTATTTACTTCAAGGTTGAGGTTGATGTTTTTAATTTAATCAATATGACTACAATCCAAACTTGGGTAGACTTGCTCATGGTCACGGGGGACTCTTTTACAAGAAGATGCTTGCTAATAGTTTTAAGTGGTCAGGCATCCTCTGGATTCCTTGCCAAGAGGCCACAAAAATGGGGCACCTTATTTAAGAACGCTCCTTGCAACAAACCTAACTTGCGGTCATCAAGGAAGCATCCAGTTATGAACCCTCTGCAGGAGGTTCCTCTGGTTAGGTTATGGGGGACCCCTCCCTGATAGAAGGCACAAAGGGACCAACACAGTCATCAAAAAGACTTCAAAGGGGTCAGAACATAAGCTAGGATGATACTGTAAGAGATGACTAAGTGGAGTACAGGGGATCTTCCGTCTCAGTTACTAGGAGGCATTCATCTCCAAAATGGTATTTCACTTGTGACTGTCAAGAATGCAGGAAAGTGCTATACCAAATGGACCTCATGAATGCATTACAGAACCTGCACATATTGTGCATATGAAGTTTGCCCGCATGTTTGTAATTTACTCACTAGAACTCATACAGCAACACCATCTCAAAGTTATGATTGATATTGACCAACACTTCTACGTGTTGCCAACTAGTGGTTCCACTATTTTCTAACCATACTTCTTCAGTGCAGTTCTTCCAAGAGTACAACTCATTGCTGAGATCTCCCAACTACATCACCAGACGGAATGCCGTCAAGGTCTAGTATTCATTATTTGACCTCTTTTTCTATGGGGCAAAATGAATCAAAATGCAATTAAGTTTGCTTTAGTTCCTATTTACTATTTAGTGTAACAAATATTTTTTTATCAATCAACATAACAAAGTTTCAAGATTTTCTATTTTGAATCATTTTGACCGGTAACATGCCAATCTTGTAACATTTGATGACGTTGATATCAAGTTCATCGCCCACCTCATGGTAAACCCTTCAACGGGTATCCACGTCAACAAATGTTACAAGATCAACATGTTATCGTTCAAAATAGGTACAAAACAGGAAATTTTGGAACTTTGTTACATTGATTGTGAAGGAAAAAAAATCTTCGTCACACTCGGTAGGAACTAAACCAAACTTTGTTGCATTTTGATGCATTTTTCCCAATTCTATATCATTACAGGTACCATCATTTTATGTTGTGTCCGTTTAATGTCCATTAAAGGAACAGATGATTCCATTCTCTTGATTGACTGAACTCCTTGGTTGTTTCTTTGTGCCTTTTTGTTTGGATTGACTGAACTCCTTGGTTGTTTCTTTGTGCCTTTTTGTTTNTTTGTTTGGATTGACTGAACTCCTTGGTTGTTTCTTTGTGCCTTTTTGTTTTGATTGACTGTACTCCTTGGTTGTTTCTTTGTGCCTTTTTGTTTTATGAAACAAGTGAGATGCATGTTTCCTTCTCTTGAATTTACAACTGTGGTTATGGCTGAGAGTCTGCAAAACATTTCAGCTGTTAGGAGCATTGTTACTGGATCGTTCAAACACCTCTGTGATGGTCCGATATGTGAGCTCATTGGACAACATGAGAACACTGATGAATCTTCTTCGGGTACTATTCATTTATTTTGTTGCAATTTAACTTTAACTTTTGCCGGTTGACCATTTTCTTTCTTTGTTTCTCCAGGATTCAAACAAGACCATACAGGTAGAAGCTTTCCATGTGTTCAAGGTACAATTATCTATTGTTGCAATGTTTAATACTAGTTATGGCTTCTCTACTTGGATTTCTCATCTAAATTGTGGTTTCTGTAATTGGGTTTCTGTTTCTGGAATAGCTTTTTCCTGCTAACCAGAAAAAGCCTCCAGAGATCGTGAATGTGCTAGTTGCAAATAGAAGCAAGCTCATCCGGTTTTTTAGCGACTTCAGTCTTGAAAAAGGTACGAAAGTTTGCCATTCCAATTTCCGCTACTGTAACAAGATGCTTAGAAATTAGAATCGTACTTTCTGCAGCCGATGAGCAATTTGAAGCAGACAAAGCTGAAGTTGTGAAGGAAATTGCTACCTTGCAGCTGAAAGGTCAAGCATGCTCAACTACGAAGCAATGCGAAGAAATCTCATGTTGATGAACATCGGTCACCACTCTAAAACTAGTACTTGGTAACTTCTTTTATTTGTTGAACCAAGTAGAAATGCCTGCATATTTATGCTTGCTAGTATTCATTTCTGTCATTCTTTATACTGCTAGAATGATTTGTAGCTCATTCAACTAAAAGTTGTACCCTAGTCTAGATTTGTTGATTCCTAAATAGCTTAAGCTGTGTGGGATGTATATGCTTAGCTTATTAGTTCCTAGTAAAAGGTCACAAAAAATATATCCTCTGGAGATGGGGTCCATAGGGTGGGATGTATACATACCTGACCTCTACCCATAACCTCTACCCATAAGAGTATACCTTCACTTCCCATCCCACTATGCTCATCAAATGTTAATATGTACACACACACACATATATATATATATATATATATTTATATTTATACCTCTAAAAGAATTACAACTCATGCCCAAAGTACAAATCATCTCCTCCCAACAAGTCGTGTAAACAAAGAATGTAACTCAATAGAAGAGGGTCCGAAAAACCCTTCATCTCTATGTTGATAGGCTGTAGCCATTGCCTACGTGTGTCTTTTTGTCGTCTTTCTTTCTTTTCAGAACGACAACCCATGTATAAGCTTCCAAGATAACTGCATTGACCCCCAAAAAGATAAGCATGCCGATGTACGCCTTCTTCCACTTTTTCTCAGGGTCCAAGATATCAAACCCTTTGAACACATTGATGATGCTTAGGATGATCACAGTGTATCCTATGCTGTGGTGGTAGATGTTCCAGTAAAACCTGTACTTGTTTTCTGGCTTTGGCCTCAGAAGCAGAGCAAATGCCTGTACATACAAACCAAACATATCAGTTTGATTTTGTTAGGATATGTGGAACCAATTTGAATCTTTCTCTCCATTCTGAGGGCATCTCCAACCGTACTGCAAAAACACCATTTTGCCGGTTTGGAAGTTCCAATTGGCAAGCAAAAGGAAAATGTCAGAGATATGTTCAAACAGCATATATGCCGTGCTCCTGTTCAAAGGTTAATTTTATATGGGTGTTAATCTACCAATTTGATGCTTTTTTGGTGGTCTTGTTGGAGATGGTTTAAAGAGAGGAGGTCCGTAGAGGTTTGATGGTCTGAGTCTAACTGATGTAGGATTCTATGAGATTGGAAACAAAGATAGTGATGTTTGCTATGAGATTGGAAACAAAGAGAGTGATGTTTGTGTACCTGAAGGGTTCCGAGGACAAATAGGGCAATCCCGATGTAGCGGTGAGTATTGTATTTGATACCAACGGAGTCGCTGCCGAGCTTGAGTCCAGTGACCCATCCGGCTACACCGATACTGTAGGCCGAAGCTTGGCAAGTAACATGGATGTAGAACCAGGCTGGGTTAGCTGCCTTGAACACTTTTAGATATCTTGCAGCCATGGCTCCCATTGGCATCATTAGTCCCCAACTCACAGCGTTCAACACTCCATGAATCTGTCACAGTTATTGTAATCAATTACCCACCATCCATATCACATGAATAATAACCATTATGTAGTCCGTGATTTTTCAAAAGAAAAGAACTATATGATCAATTTGAACTGAAAAAAAAAAAGAATTTACATTTCTCCGGCGTGGCCGTGAACCACCAACTTTGCCGCCGTCAGCACTAGCTTGTCCACTAACAAAATCCACCGTCCCAACCGAATTTCTATTATCCAGACCCATCTGATGAATCGCCGGAGCTCCGTCGGAAACAGGACCCACCTGCCACACCTGGTTAAAACTGGTCCTCCCACCACCCAACACCAATGTCGCATAAATCACCACATCGCCGTTAACCATCACGGCGGAGATCCTGGGCACGTCAAAACTCAACCTGGTGGGTTGCATACCCGTTCCATAACCCGAAACGGACGACGTGTAAGCTTGAACCGACCCGTTTGAGTTTATTAAAGCAACCAGGGCTTGGGCTCCAACCATACCCGACCCTTGAAGGTTGAGTGCCCAAGCGACCCATTGGGAGGTGGAAACTTCGGTGTGCCGGAAAGCCACGTCGACGGTGGCGTTGGTGGGGTGGTAGTTCCAGTGTAATTGTGAGTTTAACAGAGGTAAGGTGACACATGTAGCGTAGACATTGTTGTTGGAGAAGGTGTAAGTGTTGCAATTTTGAGCATAAGATACTGGAACATTCGAAATCAAAATAGAAAGGGAAATCCAAAAGATTGGGTGAAATGTTGCAGCCATTTGGAAGACGAACCGATGAAAAGAAACAGAAACCCAGATGAATTTGATCGGAAAAAATCTGAGTCTGGTCAACTCGCTACATAAACATTTACTCTAAAAACGAGAAACTGATCAGTTTTATAAATATGTAAAAGACTAAACTACAATTTTGGTCCCTGTGGTTTGTATAAAACTATGAAAATCGTATTTGTGTTTTAACAACTACAAGATGTAAGACAAGGCTATGCGCATAATGCAGCGAGATGTATCTCGATTTTAATGTTTCGTTTTATTTTTTGTCTTTGTGAATTTATAATACGGTTTTATATGTTTTTAAGAAATCGATAATGTTTTTTATTTTTTAATAAAATATAAAATCCGAAGATATTATAAGAATTTGGAAAAAAAAAATATAAAAGTTCTAGTATTTTTGTGTAATTTGTTTAATTTAATTTTTTATTATAATTTAAATTTAACAATAAAGTAATTTATTTTTTATTTAATAATGTAATTTTTTATGAGAATAATAATTAAGTATTATGTTAGATAATCATTGTACTTTAAATTTATTTCTAAAATGAGAAGTTTATCGTGTATTTGATTATGTTTATCCGTGATTAGTTATAGAATTTAAACATGAAGTTTTAATTAATTGTACTTATTACATTTTATTTATAATTTTAAATTTAAATAATATGCATCAATAAATAGTATTTTATATATCAAAATTGATTTTCAAGAATCTATGTCAAATACTTTAATGTTTTGTTTTATATTTTGGCTCTATCAATGTTATAATGCGATTTTATATGGTTTTGAGAAAAAAAAATGTTTTTATGTTTGAATGAAATATAAATTTAAAAATATTATAATTTTTTTTTAAAATAAGCGAAATTTGTATCAAATTAACTATTTAAAAGTTCTCGTTTTTGTGTAATTTCTTTAATTCAATTTTTTATTATAATTAATTGAAGTTTAAAAACGAACTAATTTGTTTTTGGTTTAATAAAATAATTTTTTAAGATAATAATTAAGTATTCTGTTAAAAATCAATGATTATTTTTAATTATATTTTAAATTTTTTTATATCTAAAATAATGTTTATCATGTATTTGGTTATGTTTACTTGCTGTTACTTACACTAATTCAAACATGAAGCTTTAATAAGATGTATGCATGATCTATTTACTTGTAATCTTGAATTTGCATCAATAAACAGTATTTCATACATAAAAAAATGGGTTTTAAGAGTTTTTATCAAATACTTTATAGTATAGTATATATATAGATATAGATAGATATTTACTTTTTCTTAAAAAAGAAGTTTGGAAATAAAGAAACAAGTGGATCGTGAATAATGGCACCACCTACGGGCCCGTAACTATGATTTTGACTTTTTATACACGTGCAATGTATATGAAACACATGTACATTTGATTCTTTGTAACATTTTCCAAATGGAACATGATTAATCGTATGGTCAAAATAAGCCTTTATGAAACAAAAACCTTAATACTAATATTAAATATTTATTAATTATTTCCATGTTACTATAAGATGATTATGGTATGCGTTTGTTTAGTCAACATGATTACTTAATTAACATCACTAATTGCATGCATGTGATGTGCCCTCCACTTAAATACGCTCCAATTATATCATTATACTTCCACCTTAATTTTCCTCCCTTTCGCTTTTTCTTTTATAAACTATCGTTAAATTTCACAAATCACGCTTATCGTGTGTAATTCACTTGGTAAGATAAGTCATCGGTACTCGGGTAAGCGCTTAACAAGTCACTTTACTTTACCGGATGGATATGACAATGACTAATAATCTTACCTACTAAGAGTAAAGGCAATAATCGTGAGTCTTACCCGGTAAGTGAAGACGATGACTTTTACCATGATTAGCGCTTACCGAAATAAATTGTTACATACGATGTGTTTTAGTAAATAAAATCTTACCCTATAAGTAAGCGATAATGTTGAATTTTACCGGTAAGTGTTTAGGTAAACGGCCCCTAAGTTGTTGAGTGAGCTAAAAAATGTCTCCCCACCCAATTAGTGTCATTGAAGGCGAGTTCTGTATGAGACCAGTTAGAGTTGTTGGTAATCAACTTTTTGTACAAATTTGGGCAAAACTATATTAATTGTGTATAAGTATAATCAAATGAGAATATATATATATATATATATATATATATATATGTATGTATGTTGTGATAATTATGAAATTTTTTATCATAAGATATTATTTCACGTGATTTTTTTAATCTAATGTTAGAATTTAAGTTATTTATTAAGAGCATCGCCAATAACTATGCTAAAATATAGATTTTGAAGATTTAGCAATTTATTTACGATGTATTTATTTTTATATGTATTTGATTTATAGTGTGAAATTTTTTATTTATATTTTTTGTTTAACAAACATATAAAATATGTTCGTATTGTGAAACAAATATATATTAACTAGAACTCTAATAAATTCTAGTTTTTAAGAAGAAAAAAACCATATAAAATAACACATGATGCATTGGTACTCAGGATTTTCACAATTGTAAGGATTATCAAATGATTAGTTGTGATACGAGAATTGTTATTACAAAGAACCGTGTACAATTCAAAACAAATACAACATTTTAGTTCTGGTTCAAAATCATGCGTTGTTTTGGGATTAAAAATGATCATAGGTCCAAATCCTTTCTTACACGTCTTACCTCTAACTCTTATTCTCACACGATTCTTCGTCTTTAGTAGTATACCAAGTACACATCAAAACAACATACTTATAATATTGATTTTGATTATCATAAGGGTATTTTAGACATTATAATTAGTTGGTTTGAGTTGGAGAAACGAAAGAAGAGCAAGATGAACCACAAGGGAGATGTCTGATTGGTTTGAGCTTGACTCCAAAGATCAAAAGTACCAGGAGGCCTCAGGTTCAAATCCAAGAAGAAATAAAAATCCCCTTATAGATACAGAGGTTCAAATGCGATGACTTCGGGCTATCTACAAAGTAGGTAGTTGCCCTATGATTAGTCAGTTCTCATAACGGGTTGGATATCCAAGTTAATAGAAAAAAAAAGAGCAAGATGAAAGTGGGGACTTCCATCATCTTGAAACTTGAACCACATTCATGTTAGATGGCTCAAGATTCCATCAAAGCCTTAATTCTTGCATATTCTCTTCACATGTGAATAAATGGTGCAAAATCTACCTACAGACAATGGTAACATAAAGAGACAAACATAGAATCCCAGAGTTTGTGGCATCATTATCCAATCTTTCTTTCTTCCAAACTGTCAATCAATTGTTTTCATAGTTTCTTCCTTATAATTCAAGAAATTAAAGTTGTAATCTTGAAGGAAAAATGTATACATACATACAAGAAGCTGTATGTATTTATGAATGTGTAATCATGTTCCCAACTAGTTGAACCAAGGCTTCACACTTTTCATCTGTCACCAGTAGCTCCAAAGTCACCTGCACTCACAAAATCAAGAACACCCATCTTCCATTTAGATCAATTCTCCTCTTTGATGGGTCCCATCTTAACTCTAAATGGGACCCACAGGTAGAATTTCATTTTCTTTTTAAGTATGTCTTAATGAATTCAAGAAAATCCCACCTCTTGGAAGATTTCACTATGAGAGACCTCCTTGAAGCCCTACACAATGGATGATGAGCATGCATTTAGTTACATAAGGTTATCATCTCAAATAGCCACCTCACAATTATAGCCAAGATATTGCAAGTCGATGCCACAAGCCACTTTTCCTTTCGGTTTCTGACAATATCTGACGCATCCAGTGAAGAAGTCCGCGCACCACAAAAACCATTAAAAAACTGCAAGTTGCGGTATTGTAGTCCCTTGCATCTATGCATTAAGAAAACAAGCCAAAGTTGCAAGTTGTGAAACTGCAACGCCATTTCGCAGCTTGCGAAACCGCAAGAGAAAGTGTTTTGCTGCGTTGACTCGCGGTTTCTTGGCTATTTTGTGAGAAAATCTAGTCAGGTGGATATAAAGCAAGTATCTTTTCTTGATGTGGTTATTTATGATGATAACCCCAACAAATAGCAAAAAGTATTTAGTCAGGGTGGGAGAGAGGAACCAGTTTTCGGAACATATTTAAAGAAGCTTCATTCGAATCTCCTATTTTTGCACGAAAGCAGCTGATTTTGTGGTTATCAATGGCGAATACCATCATCATCAATATGGATTCCATCCCAAGTCCTTTCCCACGACTTCTCTACCAACAATCATGAATCAAACACTTGAATGAAAGAACATACAATGAAATGCCATTACTAGCACGATGAAGGTGATGATACCATTTCAACGTAGAAATCCGCGATCAAAAAATGCAGGTTTAATACCTTTTAGGTTCGGCTATCATTATCTCAATCTCAGCCATATGCGAATCTTCCAAATCGTTCATATATATATTTATATCACCAACCATGGCTGCAAAGTACATCTACTGTCATTAACTTATCACAAAGTTGGTTAATACATACAAAGAAAAAGAACCACCAAAGTATCAAATGTCTCAAAATTTAGTTCATTTTGATGCAAAGAAGCGCTCTGAATCAAATGTCTGGTTCCCCTTGTGTTATTTTCTTTTGCATACTATGACTCCGTTCAAGTCTACACACCTCAAAAGCTTATGCACAAATCAAATATCTTTTTCTTTTTTTGATTAACCTGGATATCCAACCGGCTATGCGAGCCGACTAATCCCAGGACGACCAACTGCTTTGCAGATAGCCCGGAGTCACCGCATTTGAACCCACAAGGGGATTTTTATTCCTCCTTGGATTTGAACCTGGAACCTCCAGGTACTTTTGACCTTTGGAGTCAAACACAAACCAATCAGACACCACCCTTGTGGTTAAATCAAATATCTTTTTTATTGGGTGACCATGGTCCATGGGTTTCCGGGCCAGCTTACGCTGCATAGACTAATTCCCTGACAACCGTAAACGGCCTGGAGTGGTGAACATTTCCACTCGATCCCTGAGACTTAATCAGTGCGTCACAACCCAAGTGGTTTAAATCGAATATCTTACATAATAATACTTGAATAGAGGAAGGTCTGACATTTGACTTTTGTGATTCAAACCCATGACCATCTAAGTCCAGAATTGGTAGTCATAAGCATCAAAATCAACATTTTTCATCTAACAATTTTTGTTTTATTTGTAGTATTTCCAATTCATTTATCAATCTCTTTCTCCAAATTTCAGTAAACTCATAGTGAATGGTGAAGATTATCAATTGCAATCCTCATAAATTGAAACGATTGTAGAACAAACAGTTACAACCCAAAATTAAGAGGACAAAAAGGGTCAAATTTTGACCTTCAACATGAGGATCGCCATGAATGAACTTTCCAGAAATTAAGTCTTTATCCAAGACGATAAAAGTTCGTTCTGCCAAAAGAAGACAAAAAAAGGTCGAATTGTAAGATTATGATGATGATGATAATAGAGTTGACAGAAAGGGGGGAAAGTGGAAGAGTTACTGAGGGGGTCTTGGGTCCATGAAAGCTGCATCTGGTACTCTTCTTCGAGGGTAAGGGGCTCCGACCCGGTGGCTTTGAGAAGATCCGGATCTTGCATCCATTGATGGTAATTGAGAACGTGTTGTTTCATGTACGCTACCAAAATCACTTTCGAACCCTCCAAACTCACCACCATTTTTCTCTCACACACACAGACTTCCACGCAGAAGATAGAAGCATATGATCAAATAAACATGGGCTATTGGGCTTTCTTGATTCCTCCAATCCAGCCCATGTTTGCAGTAGTTGTTGCCTTGTTGGACCTTAAAATACCTTATCAATCGGAAGCGAAATAAGACTTTAGACTATAACACCTCTTAAAAAACAAACGACACCAGGTAAAAATAAATCGCAAGTTGATGTTGTTGAGTATTGATATCACATGTAATCATTTGTTGCCTTAAAACTTCTAGTCTTCTAGTAAAATTTTACCATTTCTCGTTTAAACCAGACCTCTCCCTTGGTTTTACTTATTTATAATAAAAAATCGATAAAATTCATCAAGACTTTAAATGAATATTAATTTGTATATTCAAAATGAATAAATAAATGTTTTTGACTGAACGTTAAATGCATAAATCTTTTTTTCTTTTTTTATATGTCTGAAAAATAAAGCTATTTTCTTTATATCAAATGAATCCAATTATATAAATTCCAATAAAATATGTCGCTAAGTTTTTGATATTATAAATACAATAACATAAATTCAAATGATATAAGTCACAAAGTCTTACTCTAATATATTATTAGAAGGATACTCACACAATGCAACGAGATACATCTTGATTTTAATGTTTCATTTTTTTGTCTTAATCGATATTATAATACGATTTTTTGTGGTTTTGAGAAATATTTTTGAATAAAATATAAATATGAAAACATATTATAAAAAGTTGGAACAAAAATTATTGATAATAGTATCAAACTAACTATTTAAAATTCTTCAATTTTTTTTTGTATTTCTTTAATTATTTTTTTATTTTTAGTTTAATAATATAATTTTTTATAAAGATAATAAATAAGTATTTTATTATAATTCAATGATTATCATAATTATATTTTATATCTTTTATATTTAAAATTAGATGTTTATCCTCTATTTGATTATGTTTATCTACAGTTAGTTGCATGAATTCAAACATGAAGCTTTAATAAATTGTACTTACACATAATTTACTTGTAATCTTAAATTTTAAGTAATATGCATCAATAAACAATTATTCATATATAAAAAATGGTTTTTAAATTTTTTTATCAAATATAGTATAGATAAATCCAATAACAAATTTCCAATAATATAAATTCCAAACATAACATTATACTATGATTTAAAAAATCAAATTAGTGCAGAAGAACTTAAATTATGATCAAGCCGATGTGGTCTGAAGACGTATCACTTGAGGGCTTGACCATTTATATCAATTAAGTTGCAAACATGATTCAAAGGTTGAGTAAATTAAGCATCTGTTTGTTAACAGCTTAATGAAACTCACAACTTGTCCAGTCAGTTATACGTGACTATTTAGTAATGGGTTAATTTTATAGAAAATGACTTATTCAGTTAGCTTATAACAGAAAACTTTACGTAGAAAGCCGAGTTTTTTTTCTGAACTTGCTCCTCCCGTCTATGAAAAACCCTCTCAAACTAAATTATTGTCAATCTACACAGACAATTTTATCCATACAGTAATAAATGAAAAACCAACCACACAACCCCTAAGTCTTCATCATATAAAGTTCATCAAGTAAAAAACATTCGATACAATCAAATACAAAGCATCAAAGAACCATGTTCTAGGGGCTCTTGATAAAAATCCGTTCATATCCACCAATCACATTAATAGACATCATCAGAAAGAGAACGTAAACTTAAGTAGAATAAATTTAAAATATATCGAAATATAATTTATCTTCATTTCATTAGTTAGATAGATATAAGACAGTGTGATTCAAGAACAGCAGAATGTGGAGGGCTCCTCTTCGATTCGTCCTTTACACGAACGACCGTAGTACTAGTTTGTGGACCATCACCATTGCGTTTTCCATTCTCTAACAATATTCGAAACCTTAAAAAGCCTTTCTAAAACCGTCAAAGTTTCTCAATCAGGTAGCTTCAAGGTTAAGCCTGATTTCCACGGGGATAATTACCTAAGGGTTGTGGATGAAGCCTATAGTTACGACTTGTCATGGGATTTCTGATGTGTTGTCTTATGGGTTTCATTTATAATTTCATAACGTGTAAAAGGGTGCAAAAATACGATTATAAATTCTAATTATAAGTAATAAAAATAAAGTGAAAAAATGATGAAACCAATAACCAAATACTTCCCTTTTTTTATTAACCTGGATATCCAACCCGCTATGCAAGCCGACTAATCTCAGGGCGACAACCTGCTTTGCAGATAGCCCAGAGTAGCCGCATTTGAACCCCCGTGGCCACAAGGGGATTTTTATTCCTCCTTGGATTTAAACCTGGGACCTCCTGCCTCCTGGTACTTTTAACCTTTAAAGCCAAGCTCAAACAATCAATTACCACCGTTATGGTTCAAATACTTCCCTTTGTGTCTAGTGATCAGGAACTTGATCACCAACCCCACTATTTTCTTGGATTGCCTCACTTCAAAGTTAAGCACCACAAAAGGAGCTTTCCAATACATCATAACCACCATACATACCTTTATGATCATCACTTCCCTATCATATCCCTTACAAAATACACCTTCTTCTTTCTTGCTATCCCTAACCATGATTCCCTTTCTCTCCCTCCTCCTCCTCCTCCTCCACCCTCATTCAGCTTTCTCAGCCCACTGCACCACCACCACCACCACCAAAACCTTTGAAAAATGCATGTCACTGCCTTCCCAAGAAGCATCGATAGCCTGGACGTTCCATCGACACAATTCGACTCTCGAGTTGGTCTTTTCAGGGACCTTTATATCGCCTTCGGGTTGGGTTGCATGGGGGGTGAACCCGAGCTCGCCGGAAATGACCGGGACACGAGCATTGATCACCTTCCCTGACCCAAACTCCGGCCAGCTGGTTCTGTTACCTTACATCTTAGATCCGACAGTCAAACTACAAAGCGGTCCACTGCTATCTCGACCACTTGACATCCATCTCCTATCTTCTTCCGCTACATTATATGGCGGACGAATGGCGACGGTCCATAACGGTGCCACCATTCAGATATATGCCACGTTAAAACTTAAACCAAACAAGACCAAGATTCATCATGTGTGGAATAGAGGGTTGTATGTACAAGGCTATTCTCCTACCATCCATCCAACCACCATTAACGACCTTTCCTCAACCGCCACCATTGATGTGTTATCGGGCATATCAGCCTCGGGACCAAAAAGCAACATCAAAACGCTAAAAATTGTTCACGGGGTCATGAATGCGATTTCATGGGGGGTGTTTTTACCGACTGGTGCGGTCACTGCACGATACCTACGACACATACAATCCCTGGGTCCCGTGTGGTTTTATGTGCATGCTGGAATTCAGCTTTCGGCCTTTTTGTTAGGGACTGCAGGCTTTGCCATTGGGGTCCACCTGGGAGAACTGTCGCCGGGGAGGGTCTACGGGCTTCACCGCAAGCTGGGGTTTGCAGCATTTTTCTTGGGTAGCCTTCAAACGCTAGCACTTCTATTCAGACCAAAGACTACCAACAAGTTCAGGAAGTACTGGAAATCATACCACCATTTTGTGGGGTATGCATGTGTGATTTTAGGAGTTGTGAATGTGTTTCAGGGATTTGAAGTGATGGGAGAAGGGAGATCTTATGCTAAGTTAGTGTACTGCTTGTGCCTATCTACGTTGATTGGAGTTTGTGTCGCACTAGAAGTGAATTCTTGGGTGATTTTCTGTAGAAAATCGAAGGAAGATAAGTTGAGAAGAGAAGGGGTTTTTGTAAGGGGCCAAGAGAAAGCTTGTGGATCAGAGCTTGGTGATCGACACTAGCCTCCAAAGTTTCTGTATTTCCCCTTTTAACAAATTTTGTTTGTAATCTTTCATTGATTAAAGTGAATTGCACCTTTTAGCTATCAACAATTAGTACAAGATGGATCTACAACAGGTCGATAAACAAGTAAAGCATATCTACCAGTTTTAATCGATCAGCAAGAAAACTTAGCTACCTGTTGATTAGTTTAGCAACTGGGTGAGGGTTTGTGGGCGAGGCCTAGAACAAGTGCTTCCTCTTTGCCAGTTCTTCAACTAGCTCACTTTGATGGTTGTCCATGAGATCCTCATTCACTACCATTATTAAGGGTTTGGCAAGCCTTAGAATCTCAAAAACGCTCTCTGAACCTGCAAAACAACTGTAATCTTCAATATCTTACAATATCATATGCAATCATTGCGGTGATTTTTAATCATTTTGGCAATTCTTAGCTAACTCATTCAGAATGGTTAGTATTTCAGCTGGAATCAGATAGAGCATAACTACTTGAAATACTTCTTATTTGGTGGATAAGTTAATCATGAATTTTCAAAGGAAATATAATAGGATACACTGCCTAGCTCAATAATTGAAACAATGAGAATCAGATATAACCAACGGTATATGTGGCTGTACAAACCTAACACTCTTCAATTATTGGATAGTGACTGAAACTAAGGCTTTGCTATTCATAAAGAGATCCAATAACAACAATAACCATCAAACCCACGTAGTTCATGTAATCTACTCTTCTCTCACCCTTAAAATGAATAATCAATCTTTGTGAATGGCTTTGCAACCCATGCATTAAAACCACATCACCTCCCAAGATTTATTTAAGGTGGTTATCATTTTGCTTGGTAAATTTAATTGCAAGAACAGTGACGCAAACATTCAATTGTTGCATGATAATTGAACAACAATTTGGATAATATCTTCAACAATTGTGCATCAACACATAGTTTTAGGATTCAAGAATTAATAGTAGCAGTCAGTTATCATTTACCTCCTTGATGACATGGTACTGACTCAACTGTGATCTTCAAGGCAAATTGAACCAACTATGATGATCTATAATAGACCAGGAAAATTGATGAGTTTGGGCACCCATGGCACATGTCACATGAATACTGGCCCAATTCATTGTAGACCCAAATAGATGGGGACATGAGAAGCCCATGGGCAGATCAGCCTACCAGTGGGATTTTTCATCCCTTTTGATCATGTTTCGACATGCCTCCTGATTCAAGAAAGGGGAACGACAACTGGTAATGTGTTCATTAAGATAATATCAAATCTCAAACCTAGACTCAATGCTCAAAAACAATCTCCTAAAGCATCCACTCAAACATTGTTTTTGAATAAAATGGTAGATATTGAATTACAGGCCTAACAACAAAAATTCAAAAAATCAACTACCATGGGAGTATGGGGTGGAACCAAGTCCTAAACACTAAAATCTTATTCATGTTAAAAACAAGCATGGCATTGCTTTAGAACTAACCAAGACAACCCAATCATGGTACAATATTTCAATATTCGAAGGGTCTTCTTTCTCATAAGATCATAGTACTAGTAATCTAGTATTGCAAATGATGCTAAAAGAATAAGACAACGATGCTCTATTTATCCAAATATCCTGTACAAGTTATACAACCCATAAAACCACCCATCAAAACAATTGTCCTACCACAAAGAGGTTAAAGCTGAATATGAAAACCAGTTCCCAGGAAATAACAGGTATAAACTTGCAAATACTTATATACAATTAAAAGTCGGATTAAGATCTATGACCCATAAGCTACCTTTAACCAGGCCTATAGATTAGCAACAGATGTAATGTTAATATAAAATTTCAACTGAGAGTAAACTGTAAAGTAATCTAAAGCCTGAAGTGCCTCATTTCTGTTTCTTCCTCTGCAATTCAACTGTAACTAGTGTAAGTAGTTATTTCTTTGCTTTGCAGGTATTTCAGTTGTATGCAATCCTCTAATGACATCTTATTAAATCCACTGGTGTGCATTTAATGTCGATAACTCTACATGCTTAATTGTTTGTTTCGATCTAATTTAAGCTGAGCACAAATTCGACAAACCAGATCAGTTTTATCTTAATATACTGTCGCTATGATATGAAGTGTAAAATTGTTTCGAATAACTGTGTTCTACACGACTATACATAAGATGTGAATAAGCACTATGATGTCAGAAATTCCTGCCACAATCGTAAATGGATGATAAATTTAAACAAATCTTGGTGGATTGGGGATATGGCGAGTACTCGAGAGACAGAAGGTGATACCGTTTGCCTGAGATGATAGATGGATTCTTACTTGTCGCCGGCACAGGGAAGATTTTCGCCTCCGCAGCAGATGGAGACGAGCAGCGAGCGAAGGGGCCGCCGGCGTAGCGGTGGATTAAACCGACCAACCCGTTAAACCATTTCGAAATAACCTAATCCGACCCGAACGAATTGACCATCTAACCAATTCAATGTTTGGACTAATGTTTTTAAAACACTATTTTAAAGATTTAAATTGTAATAAAATAATTATTATTTTATAATTAATTATATAATTAGTGTTTAACAACAATTTTTTACTTCTAGACATGGGTCGTTTATCAAACACTTACCCAGTAAGTGTTTACCGGTAAAATTTAACAATATTATGTGCTTACCAGGTAAGATTTTAGTCCACCAAAATGACATAATATACAATAATTTACCCAGTAAGCGCTTACCGTGGTAAGAGTCGTCGCCCTCACTTACCGGGTAAGACTCTTGATTCTTGTCTCGCTCTTACCAGGTAAGATTCTTGGTTCTTACTATATTCATCCGGTGATGTAATGTTACTTGGTAAGCGTTTACCGGGTAAGCGTTTGGTAAACAGACCCACAGTGTTTTGAAAAGTAAAATAGAAAAACAAGTATTACAATTTTAATACCCAACGTTCCCGTCTCAGGGTTTGGTTTGAGTTACGTTTTTATCCCTTACGGATATGTAATAGTTTTGATCAGTATCAACTAGTGTTTTCCATGCGATTTCATATCTTTCGTTATCACATACTACGTACGTCTTCAATGTTTCTTGAAACATTTGTATACACGAAATATTTTGAACAATCACGTTATATGTTAGAACTTCATGCAATTCGTAGTTTAGGTAACAAAGGGTCAGTCAAAATATGAAGTCTGATATTCAACTTCAGACACTTCTCATCTATTCTTTAGACAGAATACTTGTCTTTTTCATGACGACTGTGAAACTAATACAACGAGGATTTGTGCTTGTGGGCCACGGTGAATATTGAAGACCAGTGGATCTGGTTGTCGACAATCGTGGATACGCTCCAGAGGTTGGCAGGGAGTTTGTCTTGTTTGCATGTCAAGGGGAACAATTCAACCTCGTTTGAAAATCCCAATGATGAATATAAATTTTCAAACAAGACCAATAGAACATAAAATCTTAGATATTATCATTTTCATGTCTTATAAAAATGGCATACTTCCATCTTATCAGATGTAGTACTCAACCCCAAAGTATTTAGGTTGTTTGACAGTTGCTGAATGATTAAATGATTAAGAAACTTTCATGATATAATACAAAATGAAATATAATTGTTTGGTATTTGTTTACGATAAAATTAGACGTTGAATGGTTAAGGGAGGCATAAGATATAAAATCATTCAAATGGTTTTAAAGGCATATTTTTTTTTTGTCAAACAAAATTCATCTCTTAACGATTCAGAGACTGCGTCTTAATGGAACTATTAAGAGGTAAACAAACAACCTCTTATACTGATTCAACAACTTCTAGATTAACTTAAAAAGTATTGTGGAAACTGTTGGCTGTCCACAACTTTTAGGTTACATAAACTATCTATATTGGACGAGTTGTCTTATTGAGTCCAACAAAAATTTATAACGATATAATATCGATATGAAATCTCAAATAGATCTTCTACGTTTATATATGAATTATTGGGATTTGAAGTCACGATACGGTGTTAGCAATAAACTACCGATAAAATCAATAACAACGCATAAAAAACGAAATAAAACTAGTTTCAAGCATTCATTTTCGTCACAATGAACAAACCACTTGTAAACTTTCGCATGACACTCCATCCAAATACGAGCATCTTTCGAGCCAAAAAAACCCAATACGAAAACAGTTATTCACGAAGACCCTTGACGGGTATCCTTCAAATGTTTCACACTTGTAAAATCGACAACAATCCAATCAAAAGCTAATCATAAAGACCACAACCTGCAACTTTGCAGTTTTGCTAAAACAAGAAGCAAAAGTGAAGTTTCTTGCTATATGCTGAAAACTAGTTTTACATGTCACTCAAAAAACATGAAGCAACTCAAAATTCACACATAAAAAGGTTCACTTTGAACCTTCTACCTCTATAGAAACAATCTACTTAGCTCTGGAGGAGATATCTAACCTTTTCTTCAGAACTTTTTTCAGAGAAATGAAGTGTAGTATGCAAAATTCACATGTGATTCGATACACAAATTCTGTATTGCCTACTAGCCATTGATTCCTGTAGTAAGCAACACGGCTTTGAATCAGTAAAAACAGAGAATAACCAAATATCGATGCGTGGGAAAGTCCAAATGAGAGCAAGAACTTGAGAATCAACTATTTCATGTATTATTTATGATGAATAACCTTGAATAATCATGAATATCATACATATTCATCATGAATATAGTCTATATTCATTATGAATAATTTCCCTGTCATGAAATTTTATCACAACATTCATCATGAATAAAAAATGGTTGGTTCTCAGGTTCCCAAAATATTTACCTTCTCATTTGAATAGGATATCTAAAAATCATGCATACCCGAGTTTGGGTGTCTCTTGGTAACCCCATAACCACCAACATAACCATGGGAGCTTTTCATCTGGCCATCCAAGCCTGTACCGGCTAGCCCATATACACCAAAAGGACCAGACCCCTCTTGCTCCGAGGGCCAGGTTGGGTCTCCACCATACACAGAGCAACCATAAAAGTCTGAAGAAGGCACATCATAACCTCCGTTAGCCACTTCATATGATCCACGACCACTCGTGTTTCTTCCATACTCTCCACCTCCCAAACCACCAAGATTTCCGCTCTGTGCAGCACCACCACCATCTTGAGGCGAAACAGGAGAAATGCCGCCCAAATTAAGGGCAGCATTCCCTAATAGCCTCCCTCCGATAACCCCACTTCCAGATCCTACTGAACTAATCCCGCCATTACCCCACAGATTCCGAGGATTTGAACTAAAAAGAGAGAGATTACCTCCATCTCCACCATCAAAACCAACAGGACTCGCAAATCTACTTGAATTCCCTACATAATAAGGGCTCAATCCCCTATAGCTTAAAGGGTTGTTATAATTAACACCATTTCCATAGTTCCCACTCGTCGTTGGTTCAAAATTCAATCCCATACCAAATCCCGAACCATATGTAGCATGCCCACTTCTAGTTCTATCCATTCTAACATCATAACCACCAATTGGGTTCGGATAACCGTTAAGAATGCTACTAGCCTGACTTAAACCATAAGGGTATGGACTAATCGGGCTTCGGCTAAGACCAGGTGATAGCTCTTTTGGGACCGCGCGTTTGACCTCAACCATTTTACCATCTAGTTGGTGAAAAGTTTTCAACAAAACTTTACCGATTGAGTCCTCTGATTCATAAGTAACGAACCCAAATCCTCTAGGCCTTTTTGTATTGTGATCATACATCACTACAACATCTGAAATTGTTCCAAATTGCTCAAAGTACCTCTTGAAATCGCTCTCTGTGACTCCGGATGCTAAACCTCCTACGAATATCTTTCTTGTTTGACCGAAACCAGGTGAACCCTTAACGCTTAAGCTACTACTGTTTCTACTCACTGTGGTTTGGTCGTCCCTAGGAACCGCCTTTTTCGCCTCAACCTGTAACAAGAAAATGATTCCAAGATGACATTTTGTTTGTAAAATGTCAAATAGTTGTCGAAATCTACACAATTATGTCAACTGTTTTCGATGATAAAATGCTTACCATTCTGCCATCGATGTTGTGTTTCTCCTTGATGACTCTTTCAGCAACAGCAGGATCAGCAAAGACTATGAAACCGAAACCGCGAGCACGACCGGTGGCTCGATCTTTCATTATCACAGACTCCAAAACCTCACCAAATCGACTAAAATACTCATGTAAACGTTCTTCATTTGTATCCCACGAAATCCCACCAATGAATAACTTGCCAAGATCAGATTGCATCTTCTATACACCAAAATAAAACATCAAACTCAAATTCTGCAAAGTTATTTCACAATTTGCAGTCTTTAACTGTCATCCAAACATAGCCCAGTTATTGAAACAAGAAACCGATCGAAAATGCAGATCAATTTAACACAAGATTACAAGCAATTACCTTTACTTTCAAGAAACAATCAGTCGGGTAATTATCGGGTTCGATAAGAACACATCGGATCTTTCGATGATGACCGATCTAATGTAGACAATTCAGGGTCTCCTGTAAAGGGGCCAACAACCAATCAATCTACAGAGTCAAACTATCGACCAATTTATCCAAAAAGTAAACAAAACCCCACTGGATTAAAGAAAACACCCAGATGAAAAATCTCGAAGAACACACTCAAGATCTGATTGGAGACGCAATTAGAACCTTCGCCATGTTCATCTTCCTCGAATACTTCCCTTTTGTGTTGTCTTTGGTTGTTCAAATTCTGATTTGTAACAGTTAAGGAAAGAAGAATACGTCTGGAACAACAGAGAAATCGTGATGTGGGTTTCCTTCAATCTATGTTTAGAAATGGAAATTGTCTGAAAAAAGATTATATTTTAATAAAGAAGAAATGAAAAAAGATAGGAGCTTTTGGGTGGTTCGATCTGATGAGGAGAGAAGGGTTGCTTGTTCTGCAATTCGAGCCTTATATACTTATCGGGAAAAATCATGAATCACGCTTATGTAAGAGCATGCGTGTGTACCGTATGGACCCAACAATGGCGATGTCTTGACTTTGTAGCTGATCGGTGGCAGATGAACGGTTCTGATTGCTTGTTTATGTTATTAATTCTATGCCAGCACACACCGGATTGTCTTTTTCTTTTTTTCTCTTCCAAATTATCTCTACAACCTTGTAAACTACATTTATTAAAAGTCTTAAAAATAATTTTTAATGTATAAAACATTATACAGTTATATATGAAGTCTTAAAAGTCCTAAAAATAATTCATAATACATTAAATATTACTACTTTATGTATTCAGTCTTAAAATCCCTTAATCTACAATTAAAATAACATATAGCACAAGTTACCAATGAATATTATTACTTTTTCTTTTCATGTTTCTAAGATACTTTTGACACATTTCACTCATATTTTTACCCTCTAATACCTCTATGCCTTCTCTCCGTCCCCGAATGTGAGATTCAAACTGATATTCACCATGAGTTATTAAAAATTCTCTCATTCAACTGCTCTATAACTTTTGGTCTCGCTTTTGATCTCTTGATTCTTTGCTATTTGTGTAAACCGAACACATTTGTAAAGTCGTTTAAATATGTTGGATTTTAAATTGTCATCAATTTTTTTCATCGATAAACAGTAATTGGAACCGTAACTCTTATTTATTCAAATTGTATTAATATGTAAAGACCAATTGTAACTTATACCATCGTTATATTTTCTCTAATAAAACCAGTGAAACTTCAAACTCGTTAAAGTTCACGGTTTCCGCCGCATTGCAGGGGTACACAACTAGTTTCTTTTTAAAGAGTGTTTTCGTAGATTCGAGTTTTGATTTTTTGATTAATTGTTTTTAAAATTTTACATTAAAAACTACTAGAAGGGTATCCGCACAATACAGTAAGATAAATCATGATTTTAATGTTTCGTTTTATCATATTTTCATCAATGTTATAGTACGATGTTTTATGGTGCTGAAAAAACGATAATGTTTTTTTATTTTTTGAATAAAATATAAATTTAAAGATATAATAAAATTTTGAAAAAAAAAATGTATCGATTTTAGTATCAAATTAAATATTTAAAAGTTCTTGTTTTTTGTGTAATTTCTTTGATTCAAATTTTTATTGTAACTTAATTTAGATTTAATACTGAAATAATTTATTTTTTATTTAATAATATAATTTTTATAAAGATAATAGTTAGTATTTGTTAAAATTCAATAATTATCCTAAATATATTTTATATTTTTTATATTTAAAATGAGATACTTATCAAGTATTTAACTATATTTATATGCAATTAGTTACACGAATTCAAACATGGAGCTTTAATAAGTTGTACATACGCACAATTTACTTGTAATTTTGAATTTTAAGTAATATGCATCAATAAACAATATTTAATGCATAAAAAATGAATTTTAAGAGTTTATGTCAAATGATTTATAATATAGTATAGATACAAGAAGTTACTTTATAATAAATAATCTTTTAAGATAACGTAAAATTACCTAATTTTTTTAATTATCTGGTTTTTAATTTTTAAATATTACAATAATCACTTTGAAACGTACAGAGATAATCTCAATAGGCTTTTTTTCCGATCAATTTCGTAGGGTCGTAAATCTATTGTAAGCATAAAGTGGAAGAGCAAACTCGTGCCATATATAAAGTCTTATAACGCGGGTTGGACAAGATTTTGATTTTGGCTTTGACTTTTGATTAATTATACTTGATTGATTAAATTTATGATATGGGTTACCTAACAACGCATTAGAGAGCAAAAGGATTGTACGCAAATCGTTTCGTTAGAGACAAAGGTATTGATCACAACTCGTAAGGTGAAATCTTGCAATCAACTCTATTTGACGGTAAACAAATATGAATATCAATTGACGAGCAAAAATCATGACATTTTTCGAATCCAGACGCTGTCAAAACTCTTATAACCATGAAGGTTCACTTGCGATGACTATAAGTCATTCATGGTCCCTCAGGGGTATTGGTTCGTGCAAATATGAATTGTTATACCTTTGAGAGAATGTAAAATTCATACATCGACTATAATTTTGAAGTTTTAGATATTTAACTCAAGTTTTGCCTCCAGATTTTTATAAATTCCATAACATGGTAATTTTATCTATGATAAGTATAAATATTTTGGTCAAGTTTACTAAAATACATTTGTGGCTATTTTTATCACATTTTTAGTATAGTGTTTATAAAAAACCTGACAAAAAAATAGATAATCAGATGTATTTTAAATATATGCTTTTTTGATAAATTATGGGTTTTTGGGTTAGCTTACGCACATCCGTTAATCATTTAGCTCTCGAGTGACCACGAGTAGCTTATATTACTCGCAAGTGAACCTGCATGACAGTATGAATCGAAAATTGTCAGCTATAACTCCTTTTTTACATAGATTACCTAGATAATTGATAGACTAAAAGTTTGTCGCGGTGATATTAAATTCGAGGAAGGTGATGGAAGTGTGATAAAGTGTTGTATTTGCAAGTTGTTTGGCAACAAAAATCGAAACATGTACACATGTTTGGTACCAAAGTATCAACCCGTACGGTTTGGGTTGAGATTTTTCAAACCACAAGTATTGGGTTGGGTTGTTCAAATGTTTTCAACCCCATCAACCTAACCCATAAGCACCCATGATCTTGGTGTTGTCTTCTAAATATATCTAAATATGATTGTGCTAAATGCATATTTCCCTTGAGTGTTCAAACTAGAGATTCATTGAGATCACTGATTTATACTTTGTTCGACTTTCGCTAACTTTAATTTGAGATTGATCTCTTTTCCGTTTTACAATAATGCAAGTAGAAAACGAGTAAATGACAAAAAATAGTCCCAAAAAAACAATATACTTTACTTTTTAAATGATTAAGCTCGTTAACTTTTTTAAGCAAATAAATACTTGAAGTTACTGAAATCAAACAAATAGATTCTTAAATTTACTAGAATCGAAGAAACCTAACGAACTCTCATACTTTGATTGTTTGAGTCTTTAGATATTTGTTTTTATTTGTAATCCTTATTTGAATTTGAAAAATAAGCAATGGTTAAAGAAAATGATATTTTTTTGTTCTATTAGTTCGTTCTACTTTGTTACTGATTTATTGAATGTTTTTTTTTTTGAAATATATAATATTTATATACGGCAAATAGAACAAATAAACTCATCCACCATCCTCATTTTTGGTGAGATTTGAATCCTTAACCTTCTAAGAAGCCAAAGACTCACATACCGCTAGGCCAAAGGCTCTTTGATTGATTTGTTTAATATTAATACATGAGAAATGATATATATATATATATATATATACTATTGCAAGGATTTATTCGTTCAAAAAAAATGTTAAGTGACTTAACCAATGAAAATATAAAAATTCGTTAGGTTTTATTCGGCTTAGTAAGCTCCATGATTTATTTGTAAGATTTATTTATTAAATTTCAATAAACTTAAATATTTATTTGTTCAATTTTAATGAATTTAAATTTTTTATTTGTTCAATTTAAATAAGTTAAGTAATTTATCAATTAAAAAAAAGTTAAATAACTCAATCGCATAAAATACAAAAGAGTAAATTACGATTTTTATCCTTGTGATTTAGAAACTATGATTTTCATCCCTATGATTTACAAACTATGATTTTCATCCCTATGATTTACAATTTATTACCATTTTAGTTCATATATTAATTCCTACATTCAAGTACAAGAGACCAAAATAATAAAAAATCGTGAACTTTAGGAACTGAAACAACAACAAATTATAAAACATAAGAATAAAAATAACAACGAATTACAAATCATAAAGACGAAAACCACAATTTCAAAACCTCATGGACAAAAATCACACTCATTAAAAAATAACCTCAATATTTGCCAAACTTGGGATTTTTTCTGGACTTTTGCCAAACTTGGGGGGTTTTTTCTGGACTTTTCAAAAAATTGGGGTTTTTTATGGATTTTTTCCAAACTTCATGTCCAAACTCCAAACTTACTGCCGGTTTTCTAACGGAGGCTACCAAATAAAGCCCTAAAAGCAACGGCCCGATCAGTATCGTCCTGATCCATAACGAGGCTAATCGGACGGTCGTAAAACGAGTTGCGAAGCCTATATTAAACCCACTCCCCTTTCATCCTTATTGGAGCCTGCAAATATCTAGGGTTTTTGGCATGGTGGCCATCCCTTTTCATCCTTCAAATCTGTAGCCATGGCGTCCTTGAATCGGTAACCTAATTGATATATCGCTTTCCACATCGACGGTTTACAAAAAAATGGGGCGAAATGGTTGATTTTCGTAAAATCCAATGATAAATCGTCGTGAATCGAGCTTTTTCCGGTATTACAGCGGTTGAGCCTTCCTTCACTGGAAGGATCCCGTTCATCGGACAAGGCGTTGTCACATCCTATCGCCTTGGGGAGCAGGTTCTGCCATTACCTCTTGGGATTGGCCGTGAGAAAAACATTCGTACTACTGTTCTATGTATTCATACTTGTTTCATATCTCTCCGTATCTGTTTTCCGATCGAAACTAATCGATTTTGATTACAGCAGCTTTAAATTGGTAGATTAAATTGTTTGATTTCGTTACTTATCGACGATTTGCAAAAAATTGGGGCGAAATAGTTGATTTTCGTATAATCCAATGATAAATCGTCTTGAATCGAGCCTTGTCCGGTATCACAGCGGTTGAGCCTTCCTTCATCGGAAGGATCCCGTTCATCAGAGAAGGCGTTGTCACATCCTATCGCCTTGGGGAGCAGGTCCTGCCATTACCTCTTGGGATTGGCCGTGAGAAAAACATTTACATTCATACTTCTTACAATTTGTTCTATACGTGTTTGTTATCTGAAGTTAAAATTGTTTTGAATTTGGCAATGACGAGATCTGTATAAAAGAACACCATCTTTCGGGACTGAATGGCCTTCTCGAAGGCCTTGCTGTCAATTCTACGATTCCGATGCCATTCAATCATCGTTTTCTTCTTGACATTTTTTACCTTATAAATTATGTGCTTATGGACGGTCAAGTGCTGTTTAGATCTAAACACCAGCAGTACTTAACATTATTCATAAGCTATATTCAACTGTAGCCATCTTTGTCCTTCGTGCTGATACCTGTTTTATGAATAGGTGTTGGCGATCCATGTTGTGGCTAACATTTTTTTTTGTTAATGTTCATCATTTATATTCTTAATTTTATTCCATTAGTTGTCTGATTGAATCACTGTGTTATATTCTGTAGCTTAATTTGAATCAGTTAATGACGATATGAGCTTAAACCATTAAAGGATTTTAGTGGATGATGATGATGACTCTATGGAATGAAAGTTTCGAGTACCTGCAATTGATAGATGGTGTATTGGATGGCAATGTGGTGTTAACAGAAGCAATGTTCCGAGTTTGGGCTGTAACAGTAACACTGGTGAACCCAATTTTCTTTTCTACACCACCATGGTCCCTATCCTTTCCCATATGGTGACTCTTTTCCCCTTCCTTTTCGTCAGTCGCTACAAGAAAGCGGAGATGGAATCTTGTGTGGAGTCAAGTTGTATAACAAGATATATTTTAATTATATTGTTTTATTTTAATATTTGTATTGTTGATAATTATGATTTTATTTTTTAATAAAATATAAATTT